GACTGCAGAGCCCAGTGTGACCTCAGAGCTCTCTGGATCCTCACAGCACACAGGTGCTGGTACACAGCCGCGCAGAAACGCACCCTCCTCTCCGCAGAGGCCGCTTCTCTCAACTAAAAGGACAGAGGACAAAACAAAGACGGTGTTTCGATCTCGTGTTTTCTGAGACCACTATAGACAGTTGGCCTTCTTGTAATAATCTCAACATACACCTAAACATTCACCACTGATTCAGGGTCAGTTGACTTCACCAGTCCTAATTGTAACATTAACGATGTACTGTAGGCTTAACTGATCCTAGATCAACAGTTATACAGCAAGTTCTGTTACCCGTCTCCTGGCGATCCAGCCTCTGCAGTGAGCCTGGAGAGTGATGGCAGCTTGTTTCAAACGTGTGTATTTGACGCTCTCTGCTTTAGCCTGCTGCATAGCTCGGACTCTCCTCTGTAGGACCAGGGCAGCCGCTCTTCGTCTCTGGAACGCCCGTTTCTGGACCCAGCCCCGGAAGGACGACTGGACCAGCACCGCAGCCCTCTGCTCCTGGAGGGGAGGGGAGATTGAGTCATCCAAACTAAACTGAACCTCTATCATCAGAGTTGGCAATCAAAAGAAAGATGGACCTGGCTGGATAAAGGTGTGTATGAGATGTCATAGGCTTACCTTACGCAGTTGACTCCTGGTCGCATGGCCTCTCCATGATGCTTCGACTGTGACAGCGGCAGCTTTCATAACCAGGAAGTTGTGACGCTCTTCCCTGGCTTTCAAGGTCTCCCTCCATCTGCACTGAATGACCCTTACACTACGCTGGATCAGTAAGAATCTGGAAGGGGAAAAAAACCAAGCACTTAATTTGACTGAGACCCACTTTTTCATATCAAAGTAAGGCACATCCAAACTAGTCGACAGGACCCTAGTCATCAAAGCAATCAATGAAATTTAGAGGACAAACCATTTCTAATGCTGAAACAACTAAAAAGGTTACGTGATATTATTACCTGTTGCGTAGATGCCTGGTCTGCATACATCGGTGGACTGTGGCGACAGCCGCCTGCCGTTTCTTGGCACTCCGTCTGGCAAGGTCACCACGGAACACTGCCTGCAATTCAAACAAGCAATGAGATAACATTCGACCATGATCAATAAAATAATATATTGATCAATTTCAGTATGGAATATTATTAGCAGTAGTAGTTGATTGATTACTAACCTGAATAAGAACAGCAGACTTCTTCATTTCCAGGTACTTTGCCCTCTCTCTTTGGCAGAGGAGATGGGCCCTGAAACATTCCTGTATTAAAGCAGCAGATGCCCTTTGACGCTGGAACCGTCGCCTCTCTACCATTCCACGGTAAAATGCCTGTATGGAAAAAGGAACAGTAATTTTAGTCAACTACTGTCCAATTTTGGCATGTAGTTACGGTCTTTTTAATAAATCCAAAGAATGTTTACATCAAATAGACTATAGAGGAAAGAAGACTTTGGTACACACCTGAATTGTGACTGCACTTCTCTTGAGCTTCTGGTACCTCTTGAGTTGGATGTGTCCACGCACTCTGGCCTGCAGCGTTTGGACACTGGTCAGGGTCTTTAGGTACAGGGACCGCTGCTCTCTCTGGACCTGCCAGCTTCTGTAGTGCTTTTGGAGAGTCGCGGCCGCTGACCGACGCTTCAGGAAACTCCTCCTCGCCGTCCAAGCCCTGCAGTGAGACTGCAGCTTTACTGTGCTGGATCGCAGGGTCAGATACTTCCTCCGTTGGATGGACATGCGTATCACGGACTGGATCATGACCGCCGCACGTTTGCGTCTCGCCAGCCTTCTCGCCAGTGTTCCACGGATGGCTGACTGAAGTTTCACAGCAGCTTCTCTGATGGCCAAGTAATCGTCCCTTTGTCGTCTGAGCACGTTGCATGACCTGTACCATCTTTGGATCGTGACGGCAGAGGCTTGTGTTTTGGTGTACCGTGTCCTTGCCTGGTGTCTTCTGAAGGCAGACTGGATCGACACAGCAGCAGCTTTTTCCTTCAAGAAGCGTTGTCGTCCGATGCTCATCATCAGAAATGACTGAATCTTCCTGGCTGCTCTCTTCTGTTTTGCCAGCTCCTTTGCTTGTTTTCCCCTGAACAAAGCCTGAAGGTTTATCACAGCATTTCTCATCTGATGGTAGTTCTCCAACTGAGAGTTTCTCAATCTTTGAGCTCTGAATCTTTGCTGAAGAACACTGGCTGCCCAATGCTGCCTCCTATAAGCAGACTGCTGCTTGTGCATCCTGAAGTTGGCCTGGATCACAGTGGCAGCTCTGTGCATCTTAGCAAAGTCTTCTCGAACGCGATAACCTCTGAAAGCTGCCTGAAGGACTATGGCAGACTCTCTGAGCTTTATGAATCTGTCTCGGTCTAGTTTCATTTGAATGTGAGATCTGAAGTATCTCTGGATGATGATGGCAGCAAATCTCATGGCCTGGAACTTGACTTCCTCTCTGTGCCTTCTGAAGACAGCCTGGATTGTGGTGGCAGCTTGATGTTGAAGACTGATCTCCTTTCTGTCTCTCTGGCCTCTGTAGGCTGCTTGGAGGAGGATCACAGCACTACGCATTCGTTGGTAGAGCAGCATCTGCTGTTTTGCTGCAACAGTGGCACGATATTTATGTTGAATGGCAAGGACAGAGGATCTCAAGGAGAGGTACTGTCGGCGTAAGCAGTGAGCCCTGTAACTTCTCTGGAGAACACTGGCGGCCTTGTGCATCTCTCTAATGCGCCGTCTTGATCGCATGCCCCGGAAGGCAGCCTGTAACACGATAACAGCATTCCTCTTTACACTCAGTGCTTTCCTGTCTTCAATCATCTTCTTGTTGGCTCTGTAACGAGCCTGCACTGTGTTCACAGCCCACTGAAGCCTCTTATAGTGCGCCCTCTGCAGGTGTTTTCGGACATGAGATTGAATGAGTATGGCTGCTCTGCGTTCAGTCTGCAACTGCTTCCGGACCTTCTTCCCTCTGAAAGCTTCCTGAAGGACTATGGCAGACTCTCTGAGCTTTATGAATCTGTCTCGGTCTAGTTTCATTTGAATGTGAGATCTGAAGTACCTCTGAATGATGATGGCAGCACACCTCATGGCCTGGAACTTGACCTGCTCCTTGTGCGTCCTGAAACTGGCCTGAATCACAGAAGCAGCTCTGTGCATCTTAGCAATGTCTTGCCGAACGAGATACCCTCTGAAAGCTGCCTGAAGGACTATGGCTGAATCCTTCAGTGTCAAGAACTCGTCTCGGTCTTGTTTCCTTTGAATGTGAGATCTGAAGTATCTCTGAATGATTATGGCAGACAGTCTCATGGCCTGGAACTTGACCTGCTCCTTGTACATCCTGAAATTGGCCTGAATTACAGAAGCAGCTCTGTGCATCTTAGCAACGTCTTGTCGAACGCGATACCCTCTGAAAGCTGCCTGAAGGACTATGGCAGACTCTCTGAGCTTTATGAATCTGTCTCGGTCTAGTTTCATTTGAATGTGAGATCTGAAGTATCTCTGGATGATGATGGCAGCAAATCTCATAGCCTGGAACTTGACTTCCTCTCTGTGCTTTCTGAAGCCAGCCTGGATTGTGGTGGCAGCTTGATGTTGAAGACTGATCTCCTTTCTGTCTCTCTGGCCTCTGTAGGCTGCTTGGAGCAGGATCGCAGCACTGCGCATTCGTTGGTAGAGCAGCATCTGCTGTTTTGCTGCAACAGTGGCACGATATTTATGTTGAATGGCAAGGACAGAGGATCTCAAGGAGAGGTACTGTCGGCGTAAGCAGTGAGCCCTGTAACTTCTCTGGAGAACACTGGCGGCCTTGTGCATCTCTCTAATGCGCCGTCTTGATCGCATGCCCCGGAAGGCAGCCTGTAACACGATAACAGCATTCCTCTTTACACTCAGTGCTTTCCTGTCTTCAATCATCTTCTTGTTGGCTCTGTAACGAGCCTGCACTGTGTTCACAGCCCACTGAAGCCTCTTATAGTGCGCCCTCTGCAGGTGTTTTCGGACGTGAGATTGAATGAGTATGGCTGCTCTGCGTTCAGTCTGCAACTGCTTCCGGACCTTCTTCCCTCTGAAAGCTTTCTGAAGGACTATGGCAGAGTCTCTGAGCTTTATGAATCTGTCTCTGTCTAGTTTCATTTGAATGTGAGATCTGTAGTACCTCTGAATGATTATGGCAGACAGTCTCATGGCCTGGAACTTGACCTGCTCCTTGTACATCCTGAAATTGGCCTGAATTACAGAAGCAGCTCTGTGCATCTTAGCAATGTCTTGCCGAACGAGATACCCTCTGAAAGCTGCCTGAAGGACTATGGCAGACTCTCTGAGCTTTATGAATCTGTCTCGGTCTAGTTTCATTTGAATGTGAGATCTGAAGTATATCTGGATGATGATGGCAGCAAATCTCATGGCCTGGAACTTGACTTCCTCTCTGTGCTTTCTGAAGCCAGCCTGGATTGTGGTGGCAGCTTGATGTTGAAGACTGATCTCCTTTCTGTCTCTCTGGCCTCTGTAGGCTGCTTGGAGGAGGATCGCAGCACTGCGCATTCGTTGGTAGAGCAGCATCTGCTGTTTTGCTGCAACAGTGGCACGATATTTATGTTGAATGGCAAGGACAGAGGATCTCAAGGAGAGGTACTGTCGGCGTAAGCAGTGAGCCCTGTAACTTCTCTGGAGAACACTGGCGGCCTTGTGCATCTCTCTAATGCGCAGTCTTGATCGCATGCCCCGGAAGGCAGCCTGTAACACAACAGAAGCATTCCTCTTTACACTCAGTGCTTTCCTGTCTTCAATCATCTTCTTGTTGGCTCTGTAACGAGCCTGCACTGTGTTCACAGCCCACTGAAGCCTCTTATAGTGCGCCCTCTGCAGGTGTTTTCGGACGTGAGATTGAATGAGTATGGCTGCTCTGCGTTCAGTCTGCAACTGCTTCCGGACCTTCATCCCTCTGAAAGCTGCTTGCAGAGCAGTGGCTGCCCTACGCTTCAACAGATAGTCCTTCTGGTCTTTTCTTATCATGGCCACATCCCTGCATCTCTGTTGACATAGTAGAACAGCAGTTTTGACCGCAAGGAAGCGTTTCCTGTCCCTGAAACTGAGGAACCTCCTCTGAATGACCACGGCTGCTTGGTGCATCCTAGCAACCTCCATTCTTGCTCTGTGACCGCGATACATTGCCTGAATCACCACTGCAGCGGACTTCATCGAGGTGTACCGCTGCATCTGTAGATCTCTGAGCCGATTGGCCCTGTAATGCTGCTGTACGATGATGGCCGCCACCTTTGTGGCAAGATAGGCCAAACGCGCTTTGTGCATCCTAAACTGAGCTTGGATGACTGTAGCAGCGTCGCGTTTTGTCCTTAGGTCTCTTCGGACTCTGGATCCCCGGTAAGCAGCCTGTAGCTTTACTGTGTCCCATTTCAACTGTCTGTACTGCTCTCGCTGTGTTCTGCCTGCTACAAGAGCCCGGTATCGACTCTGTAGGACTATAGCAGCACGTTGCAGCAACACATATCTTCTTCTACAGAGAAAGACTCTCACTGCTGACTGAAGGACAGCGGCGGCCTGGTGTTTTTGTCTCAGCTCTTGCCTGACTCTCATGCCACGGAACCTGGCTTGTAAAGTAACAGCAGCTTTCTTGACCTGGAGATACTCGGTTCGAATTTCTTTCCCTGCCCTATAAGCTCTATATTGGCTTTGGATGGCCAAAGCAGCCTCCTTTCTTGACCTGAACTGTGACTGCAACACATGTCTACGGTAAGAAGACTGAATGAGTGTGGCACATTTATGCAGTTTTTCAATCCTCCTCCTCTCTGCCCTACCTCTCCAGATAGCTTGTATTCTCAATGCAGAATATTGGAGGGCCATATATTCTTTTCTTGATTTCTCCCCCAATAGCCTGGCTCTAAATTGCTGTTGGACAACAATTGCTGATTTTTTCAAGGACAAGAATTTCCTTCTGGCCACAAACTTCTTGAAAGCTGTCTGGATGACTGTGGCTGCCTGATTCTGTTGTTGCGTTAGTCTCCGAGCCGTATGTACACGATAAGCGGACTGTATGGTAACAGCTGCACATCTCATTTTCAGGAACTGTTGCCTCCCTGCATCTCTTTGTACAGAGGCCCTGAACCAACGCTGAATCACGACCGAGGACTGTCTCATCGTTGCCATCTGTTTTCTGACCGTGCTTGCCCTAAAAACACTTTGGATGACAGTGGCAGAGTGATGCTGCAGTTTTAATGTCTCAAAGTTGTGTCTCTGTGCATGACCTCTACACCAAGCCTGAACGAGAATGGCGCTCCGCTGGATGCTAACGTACCGTTTTTGGCACCTGTGCATTCTGTAGCGAGACTGAATCTTTAGGGCAGCCGAGGTTCTTCGGGCCATTTTGTCACTGTGCCATTTCTTAAATGCAGATTGTATCACTGTGGCAGCATGGTTCTCCCTCTGCAGTCTCCGAGTCTTCCGTCTCCGATAGTTTCTCTGGATTTTGACAGCTGCTGATTTCAGTGAGCGGTAACGTTCACACTCTTTCCTTGCCCGAGTCGAGGCCCTAACATGCTTCTGAATTACTGTTGCGGCCCACTGGGTCCTTCTGTAGGTAGCGACCGCCATCTTCATCCGCCAGAGAGCTTGAACTTTAACAACGTGCAATCTCAAGCGCTGGTAGTTTTTCAAGGTAACATGCTTTTTCCATTGTGCCTGTAAGACAAGTGAAATGTGCTTAGATTACTCAAACCTATTAGCAGTTATCATTACTGTTCTAGATCTTTCCACAGTGACGCAAACTGCCAGAGACTGCTTTGCATACTGTAACTCATGCATGTAGTATAGCTACAACTAATGGCGAGCAGGTCCCTTAAGTATGAGCACGATGGGTGGGTGGGTAGGTAAGTAGGAACAACGGCCCATCTCTGAAATTATAGAATACTAAAGAAACATACTTGGATTGTGGTGGCAGCAGCAACCTGGAGAGCCCCGAGTAGAGCCCTTCTCCTCAGTGTCAGGGCGTTCCGTACCGAGTAGCCCCTCCATGCAGCCTGGATGCGGATGGCTGCAGCGGTCTGACGCACAGCTCTGCGTCTCTGAAGAAACTGCCTGACCAGCACCTGGATCTTCCCTGCAGCTATAGTCCTTTCCTATACCAGATGAGGGGATAGGTGAGATGACAGAAGTTTTTCAATGTACAAGAGATCAGAAAAACACAGAAAAACAGTAAGAGGATGTCAGGACTAGTTGTCATGACTTTTAGAGGTAATATAGACAAGACGCACCTGGTAAAGCTTCAGATCCTTCTTCAGCCGGTACTTTCTCCAAGCTCCCTGGATGACCCTGGCAGCACGGGTCTCATTCCGCAGGTCCAGAAGACGGGCACACAGGAAGGACAGGTAACATGTCACCACCTGGAACAGATAAACACAGATCAAATGGGTCTGGAAACACTTCAGAGATTCAGCATACTTGTCCAAAAAAAAAAAAAAGGCACTGACAATTACAAGAATATATTGAAGTGAATGAGTGTTGAAACAGTTCCCAAGTTTTCCCTGAAAAGAAATGCACACAGTCAAGCCTAGGTAGATCATAAAGCCCCTCCCACCTTCTCATTGGGGATAGTGTTTGACATGTCAGCTGGGTTGATCATGGCAGGAACCCCTCCCAGGTCAGACACTGCAGTGTTGACAAGCCTGAAGTTATTCTTTTCATTCTCCAGAAGCTCTTTGAACTCCATCGATGGCGACTCTGGGCATATTCACAATACATTATAGAAAAATCAGTCATTTACCGGTCCGTTTTCTTATTACACAACTAAAACTTTGTAACTGCTTCACTGAATGGATGCGTTTGGGAAGAAATACCATTTTGTGTGGTGGGCCAGGTGTCAAAGGAGTTGTCCGAGTCGCTAGAGGAGCTGTTGAGTTCGACTCGTCCTCTCTGGGAGCACTCCACCGTTTGGGTGGTGTTGTGGCTGACGCCGTTTGCTGGTAGGTGGCTGGGGTGGTAGTGATGGATCAGGTAGCAGAGGACACGACCGTCTGAGAACGACACCGTGAAGTTCTCTGCCTGGAGAGAGACAAGAGATACACATTTTGAATTCATGTGAAGTGTATAGAGTTGTTTAAAACGTTTTATTTTATAAATCACATCCACAACCATTCCCTGAACATTGAGTACGCCTGCATTTCTTTAAAAAAGAGATGAGAAATTTTTGAAACAGGTCACCAACACACTCACCATCAAGTGGTAGAACTGACAGACAGCATTGACCCAGTCCATGAGCAGAGTGATCTTTGAGCTACTGTGTTCGAACAGGGGTCTAGGCTTGGCAGTCTTCTGCAGCACACCTTTGTCGGCCCTCAGTGAGGCCAGCCTCTGTTTGGTTGTCCAGGTGTGTTTAAGGAAACTGATCTCTTCTCTCAGCTGGTCCTCGTCCAGAAGCACCTCCACCTGGACAGAAGGGGGGGGGAAGAGTTCATTCATGAAAACAGAGTGGAATGTGGGAGAAAAAGTGTTGTGTTATTGTAAATGGGAGTGGATGAAGCCGAGGAGGGGACGCTTATCCAAAGTCAGTCAGGTTATGAAATATGAAACGTACCTGGAAGGTAAAGATGATCTTCCACAGCAGGCTCAGTGTCTTCTCCCTGTGTCCATCCACAATATCTCTGGAGTCAATGACAGCATCTGGGAGACATAATGGCACTTAGTTAAAGGGCGACTGCACTACCTGATTTATTTATTTTATTACTCCTTTTTCGTGATATCCAATTGGTAGTGACAGTCTTGTCCCGTCGCTGCAACTCCCGTACGGACTCGGGAGAGGCGAAGGTCGAGAGCTATGCGTCCTCCGAAACACGATCCTGCCAAGCCGCACTGCTTCTTGACACACTGCTCGCTTAACCCGGAAGCCAGCCGCGCAAATGTGTCGGAGGAAACACTGTACAACTGGCGACCGTGTCAGCGTGCATGCGCCCGGCCCGCCACAGGAGTCGCAAGAGCGCGATGGGACAAGGACATCCCGGCCGGCCAAACCCTCCCCTAACGCGGACGACGCTGGGCCAATTGTGCGCCGCCTCATGGTCTCCCTGTCGCAGCCGGCTGCGACACGGCCCAGGATCGAACCCGGGTCTGTAGTGACTCCTTAGACCGCTGCGCCACTTGGGAGGCCTTGCACTTCCTGATTTGGCCTGGTTTTAGATTTGGTTCATTAAGAAATGCTAGCGGCCAAGACTTAATTAAAACAAGAGTTGGTTCAGGGTGTGGTTTGATGCAGGTGTCTTGTGTGTGTCCGCAGGTGGGAAGAGTTAACCAAATAATTCACCCAATTAGCTTCAGCCGGCTGATGTGCGACCATGGCAAAAATCGGTTTAACTTTGGATAGCCCATCTCTGGGGATAGTTCATTTCATTTCATTTTAGTCATTTAGCAGACACTCTTATCCAGAGCGACTTACAGGAGCAAGTAGGGTTAAGTGCCTTGCTCAAGGGCACATCGACAGATTTTTCACCTAGTTGGCTCGGGGATTAGAACCAGCGACCTTTCGGTTACTGGCACAACGCTCTTAACCACTAAGCTACCTGCCTCCCCAGGGACCGTCAATAAATTACACAATGTAATTGAGACATTTTCATGTTGCATATCTTTTAGTTGTTTCATTAAAAGCCTTCAATATTTGTACAGTGGGGGAAAAAAAGTATTTGGTCAGCCACCAATTGTGCAAGTTCTCCCACTTAAAAAGATGAGAGGCCTGTAATTTTCATCATAGGTACACGTCAACTATGACAGACAAATTGAGAAAAAAAAATCCAGAAAATCACATTGTAGGATTTTTTATGAATTTATTTGCAAATTATGGTGGAAAATAAGTATTTGGTCACCTACAAACAAACAAGATTTCTGGCTCTCACAGACCTGTAACTTCTTCTTTAAGAGGCTCCTCTGTCCTCCACTCGTAACCTGTATTAATGGCACCTGTTTGAACTTGTTATCAGTATAAAAGACACCTGTCCACAACCTCAAACAGTCACACTCCAAACTCCACTATGGCCAAGACCAAAGAGCTGTCAAAGGACACCAAAAACAAAATTGTAGACCTGCACCAGGCTGGGAAGACTGAATCTGCAATAGGTAAGCAGCTTGGTTTGAAGAAATCAACTGTGGGAGGAATTATTAGGAAATGGAAGACATACAAGACCACGGATAATCTCCCTTGATCTGGGGCTCCACGCAAGATCTCGCCCCGTGGGGTCAAAATGATCACAAGAACGGTGAGCAAAAATCCTGCAGAGAGCTGGGACCAAAGTAACAAAGCCTACCATCAGTAACACACTACGCCGCCAGGGACTCAAATCCTGCAGTGCCAGACGTGTCCCCCTGCTTAAGCCAGTACATGTCCAGGCCCGTCTGAAGTTTGCTAGAGTGCATTTGGATGATCCAGAAGAGGATTGGGAGAATGTCATATGGTCAGATGAAACCAAAATAGAACTTTTTGGTAAAAACTCAACTCGTCGTGTTTGGAGGACAAAGAATGCTGAGTTGCATCCAAAGAACACCATACCTACTGTGAAGCATGGGGGTGGAAACATCATGCTTTGGGGTTGTTTTTCTGCAAATGGACCAGGACGACTGATCCGTGTAAAGGAAAGAATGAATGGGGCCATGTATCGTGAGATTTTGAGTGAAAACCTCCTTCCATCAGCAAGGGCATTGAAGATGAAACGTGGCTGGGTCTTTCAGTATGACAATGATCCCAAACACACCGCCCGGGCAACGAAGGAGTGGCTTCGTAAGAAGCATTTCAAGGTCCTGGAGTGGCCTAGCCAGTCTCCAGATCTTAACCCCATAGAAAGTCTTTGGAGGGAGTTGAAAGTCTGTGTTGCCCAGCGACAGCCCCAAAACATCACTGCTCTAGAGGAGATCTGCATGGAGGAATGGGCCAAAATACCAGCAACAGTGTGTGAAAACCTTGTGAAGACTTACAGAAAACGTTTGACCTGTGTCATTGCCAACAAAGGTTATATAACAAAGTATTGAGAAACTTTTGTTATTGACCAAATACCTATTTTCCACCATAATTTGCAAATAAATTCATTAAAAATCCTACAATGTGATTTTCTGGAAAAAAAATTCTCATTTTGTCTGTCATAGTTGACGTGTACCTATGATGAAAATTACAGGCCTCTCTCATATTTTTAAGTGGCAGAACTTGCACAATTGGTGGCTGACTAAATACTTTTTTCCCCCCACTGTATATGATTTTCTACAATTTATAATTGGTTTTGAAGTTAAGTCATTGAAATTTGGAGCTATTATCCAATGTACATTATGTAATTTACTGAGGGTCCCTAACTAGCCCCATAGGGATATCCAATGTCAAGCCAAATTGACCATTGTGATCTGGTCGCATGCAGCTGTGCTCTGAATTGATGATTACTTGTGTGCTGTTGGCAGGATTAAAATAAACCCAAGAAAAACTGTTACGGTACCCTTCATTCCGTGACATTCTATTTTTTCCTATCATCTTGTAAATCTGTTTTAGACGAGACTGACTTTGACTGAAATTATCCTATTCACTCTAGGTAGTACATTTTGGGGTAGTCGCTCTTTAATCTTCACAGGGACACCTCGCTGTCTAACTAGCAGAGTTTATCATTCATTTGTTATTTTGTCAAATTTTATTTAACAACAATAAAGAATTGGAGAGAAAAAAAAAAACAGTGTGAACTTACCATGCTCATCCTTGAGGTCAACCCCTCTGGCTCTGAGCACCTGCAGGGCTAGGTCAACGTTGTGGACCTTCTGCAGACGACTGATTGCAGGCATCCTCAGTTTACGGGACAGGCTCCAGTCCTGGATGAACAGCTCCATCACACGCCTGACAGAAAAACATACGGCAATACAGTCACCAACCCTTAACCTGGAGAGCCAACACTTTGTGCAGGCTTTCTTTCCAGCCTAACAGTGACACCAAAAGGATGGGTGTGATAATGTGTCTTACACTAGACGGATTCCACACTTCAGGTCGACGCCCAGATTCTTGACAGCGAAATTGAACTCATCCAGAGGGGTCTGGACGTGGGAGACCGGTAGGCCCATGTAACCCAGGTGACGGGGGAGGATCCCCTCTCCACTCAGGAAGTCCCTGGAGAATGCCAGCAGCAGGTCCTTGGTAGTCTGGAGAACATAAAACAATCAAGAAATCAACGAGAGGTACTACAGGGGCAAAGGAATGAAACCAGAAAGAGCGATTAACGTCTGTCAGACAGATTACTTAATTTGTGGCCACGGGAGTTGGTGTCACCTTACCTTGAATTCTGCATCCATGCAGAACAGACAAGGGTCATGTTCGATCATCCTGGACTCTTTGGCCTTATCCAGGAAGCACACCATGAGGAGAAGCTTCTTCAGAGTGAAACGAGACAGCGCCTCCTCGTGGCCTGCACAAAAGAGACCAAAAACAATCAATGACCAACTAATATAATACACTTCATAGCATCTTCCATTCAACAGAAAAATATATGAAAATAGCAACAAAAAAAGCTGAACATAATGGCAGACAGGAGAGCAATTCATTACCATCTTTGTAGAGGTTGGGTACTTTGGCATGTCTGAACTCTGCAGCGATGTCAGGGTTCCACAGCAAGCGTTTCAGAATGAACATGGCCAGGCCCATGACGTCACTGTTGCTCTCCAGCGAGATCATCTCCCCGTAGATCGTCTGAAAACAGGTTGCATTTCATGAGACTTGAACAAGGACAATAGACATTTAGGAAAACGTAAAACAAATAAAACCATTATCTGACTGACTGTACCTCAAGTCCAATCCGTAACCAAAGAGGATTGTAGGATAGAAGCCAGTTGAGAACCTTTTGGCGTTCCCCTACAAAAACAAGTTCAACAAAAACTTTGCATAGGCTTTTGGTCCTGAACCTTCGAATATGCATACTACTACTTAGAAAAGACATACAACTTATAATTTAATTTGAGTATTAACACATCCATATGAATCAGACTAGGTTACATATGTCTAACACCAGCGTGCATACATACCGATGTCCTTCCAAAGATGGCGGTCCTTGCGTACCAGTAGCCTTCTAGCCTCAACCTCCAACTCCAGCCTCTGGATGGCTTTGACCATGGGCTCTGAGGTGAAAAGCTGGCAGGCGGAGCGACGCAGCCGGTTGAGCCGCCGTCTGGCCGTGTACGTACTAAACGACATCTCCTCTTTGGTGGGAGCCTCGTTGACGGCAAACTTCTCATTACCGCCCATCGCCAGGGATACAGCATTCACTACACAGAAAGAGAGACGGAGAGATATGAAGCAATGGAATTCTGTATAATTTGTGATGTTTCGCATAGATAGAGCAAGATATGAGCAACCAGATTATACAAATACATAAATTTTTTATCTTACCTACGAATTAAAACCACTATTTGAAAATTCTGCATCATGCCATCAATTGGCTATCATGCCACAAATGCCCATGGGTAGCAGTGTGCCAAGTAGGAAGTTGTCATCGAGCGTGTGGCTGACTGGTCTATAGGAGGGCCAGTCAGTGAATAAGAACAGCGGTGCCTCTACCAGAGCTCTAGCACACCAAGACAACACGTCATGGTGAGACAGTCTCGGGACTAACAGTACTCCTTTATATCACCGTCTTTCCTATCCAGGTGAACATTACCTTTGGTGACCTCCGTGTTGACCTTGAAGTCATCAGGGGTGAGGACGTAGTTGATCCACCAGGTAAACCCAGTCTCCTGTTTCTCTATCCAGCGCTCGTCATAGAACATGTTCTTCGCAGCGAACGGCATCGGATGTCTTGGTATGGCTGCAAGAGACAAGTATATTCCGTAAGTGACAGCACATGGAAATATAGGACACGACAGTGGATTAGAGCGCGAGTGAGATAGTTTGTGTATATATATATATATATATATATATATATATATATATATATATACAAACTATGTGGTCACCTGCTTGAACATCTTATCAAAAAATCGTGGGCATTAATATGGAGTTGGTCCCCCCTTTGCTGCTATAACAGCCTCCACTCTTCTAGGAAGGCTTTCCTCTAGATGTTGGAACATTGCTGCAGGGACTTGCTTCTATTCAGCCACAAGAGCATTAGTGAGGTCGGGCACTGATGTTGGGCGATTAGGCCTGGCTCGCAGTCGGCGTTCCAATTCATCCCAAAGGTGTTTGATGGGGTTGAAGTCAGGGCTCTGTGCAGGCCAGTCAAGTTCTTCCACACCGATCTCAACAAACCATTTCTGTATGGACCTCGCTTTGTGAACTAGGGCATTGTCATGGTAAAACAGGAAAGGGTCTTTCCCAAACTGTTGCCACAAAGTTGGAAACACAGAATTGTCTAGGAATGTCATTGTATGCTGTAGTTTTAAGATTTCCCTTCACTGGAACTAAAGGGGCCTAGCCTGAACCATGAAAAACAGCCCCAGACCATTATTCCTCCACCAAACTTTAGTTGGAACTATGCATTCGGGCAGGTAGCGTTCTCCTGGCATCCGCCAAACCCAGATTAGTCAGTCGAACTGCCAGATGGTGAAGCGTGATTCATCACTCTAGAGAACGCGTTTCCACTGCTCCAGAGTCCAATGGTTACGAGCTTTACACCACTCCAGCCGACGCTTGGCATTGCGCATGGTGATTTTAGGCTTGTGTGCAGCTGCTCGGCCATGGAAACCCATTTCATGAAGCTCCCTATGAACAGTTATTGTGCTGACGTTGCTTCCAGAGGCAGTTTGTAACTCGGTAGTGAGTGTTGCAGCCGAGGACAGACGATTTTTACGCGCTACCCGCTTTAGCACTCGCCGGTCCCGTTCTGTGAGCTTGTGTGGCCTACCACTTCATGCAATAAAATGCAAATGAATTACTTAAAAAGCATACAATGTGATTTTCTGGATTTTTGTTTTAGATTCCGTCTCTCACAGTTGAAGTGTACCTATGATAAAAATTACAGACCTCTACATGCTTTGTAAGTAGGAAAACTTCCAAAATCGGCAGTGTATCAAATACTTGTTCTCCCCACTGTATATATATATATATATATATAAAACAAAAGGGCTAGGTTACCTGTTTGACCAGGCATGATGAATGTGAGCTTGGACTGGGCCACAGCTACAATCTTTGCAGTTTTTACAGATGAGCCACCAAGAGATTTCAAAGACTGCGCACCTATGATCAGAGTAGAAAACATAAAGACATGCAAAACTCTTCCACATAGAAAATGGCCTACTCATTTACCAGTACAATACATCTATGGTTTCTGTAGTGTACTGTCCTGTATTTCCTGTTGTAGGTCAAGTTTTTGTACCTCGCTGGCCAGGTTTTGGAGCTGGCTGCTTGGCTCGGGCAGGGGATACAGACTTTGGAGCCCTCATGGATGAGGCAGAAGTAGTACGCACAGAAGCTGAAAAACAAGAATACACACAGATCACATCATTTAAGAAGTATAGACCAGGGAATATGAAATATTCTAAGCAATAGGCAAGTTGTGACTGCACAGGGTTCACATAGGCCCTACTACTCCACAGCAGTCCATTAGAGTGCTGCCACACTCGTTAAGGGAATAGTGCTCAGCTGGAGCTTGTTCCCCTAGTCCTGCTGCACCACACAATTCAATCATTAGTTTACAGAGAATACTGAGGACATTTCAAAATCAACATTTACTAACTCACCTGATGTTTTTGTCTGCTGCCTGTGAGAGGAGACACTGAACCCCTTCTGCTGAGCTGGTCTGTTGGGTGCCTTCACCACTGTTGACACCCTACTCCTTTTCACATGGAACGTTTTCGCTGCAGCATCCTCCACTTTCTCCCCTCCATCCCTCAGAAACTCATCGCTCTTCCTCTTTTTGCTCCGCACCACCCCCATGTCAAACTGGCTCTGGTTGTAAACAGGAAACACGTCTGCCCGGTCAGGTAGAGGTTCCACTGTTGGTGCTGCCTGGAGCCGAGTGGCTCCCAGAATGGACTCATCCTGGCCAGGGTGCTGGGGGCCACCGGTAAGGGGGGTCAGGGGCAGAGGAGAGCTGAGGGAGAGGTTGACTGGAGCAGGGATATCATCCAAACAAGCTGGGCTAAGGGAAGCTGACTCCAGCGCCTGCAGCCTGGCCTCCCGTGGGGAGATTGTTAATGGAGAATCATAGAGTCTGTTTAGGCTTCCATCAGAGTTGATGACAGGGAGACCAGGGGTAACTGTAGTACCAGGGTTTGACTCTGAATGGCCACTTTCCCAAGACAACTCCAGTGTTTTCTCCAGGAGACGGCGCCTGGAGGTTTTGATTCTCCTCACCCCAGGACTGCTCACCTGGATAGGGGCTGGTTTGCTTTTGATGACTGTGGAGGAGGTGAAAGTAACCTTTTTGGCTTTAGGAACAACTTCTCCAACCTCTATTCTGCCCTCCTTGTCAGTAACAAGTTCTGGTTTGATGAAGAAGGTTAGTCTAGGCTGTGGAGGTTCTGACTTGATGGGGCTTTCAGGCAGGGCTTTCAGATCAATCACAGATTTGTCAGGGCCACAATTCTTCTCTCCATTTGTTGTCTCCAAGGAGTGGGAGAAATCAAAGCTAGAGCATGCGTTTGGAGGACTTGCGCCAACCACATGAGTTAGATCAGACTCAATCAAGGCCAGTGCATCTCTCACAGACAACACTGGTGTTCCGGCCAACACTGTATGGCTTATGTCAGCAACAGCGTCATCAATCACATGGGCTGGGCTCTGTATAGACTGAATACGGGGCATCAGCTTTTGAAACCTGTCTGGAGTGCCCACAGGGGACACAGTCATGTTCAGTAGTCTGGTGAGGTCTCTGCACTCAGGTGTGCCTACTGGGCAACTGTAGCTGGCTGCTGCATCAGAGGAATCGATTATATTTGCAGCGGGGACTAGAAAGACGACAGGCGAGTTCTTTTGGACATTGTCAAAGCTCAACTGACCCAACACATCCTGCTTAAACTTCTGCCCTTCAACAGGTGTGCAGGCTTTTTTGTTGAGTGAAGCGAGTGGGCTCCGAACCTTCTCCCGTCTGTACTGTGGCGTCCGGGACACCTGGAAGGTCTTGTTGGCTGCCATCTTCAGGGAAGACACAGAGTTTTTTTTGCCCCTTGGAGGGGCTGATAGATCAAACGCCTTCTTGCTTTTGATTGAGTCCCACAGACTCTTCTGTAACAAAGGAATAAATAACATGAAGTGGTTTGTAGTTATGTATAGAGCATTTGTGACGCTTTGAAATAGTTAAAATGACATTGTATTTATTAGGCTACATGTTGATATTAGTGTGACTTAGCTAGCTATGTTGCAAAACATAACGATATGCATACAATAGCTCGGCTATATAGATTCTAAAAAGTAAGTTACCTTCCTCTTTTTAGGTGCGTCTGCCCTTCCTAGCAAAATGGCTTGGTGTTTGACCACCCCATTGGCAATGAAAGTGATCAGCTCTCGAATACCACCTTCATCTATCGGTGTCCAAGTTATTGTCAAATTGACACGTTCCTCAGGCTGCAAAAAAAAAAAGACAGGGGAAATAACGTTAACTAACTAAGGTTAAAATGTATGGATAGCTAGCAAGTAGAACTTCAAACAAATCTGTGACAACTGTTGGCTAGCTGGCTAGTTAGCTTACGTTACATCTGACAGCTAACAAAACAAACGTTAACTTAGTGACTGTCATGCCAACTAGCCCCACTCGTTGACATCTAACGTTAAGTTAGCTAGTTATATTATTGTATTTGAGCACACGCTAGCTAGCTATAATTTCCCTTACCTGAATTGTAAATCGGGTTTGATCCACGGAAAAGCCTTTCGTCGATGCAATCTTATCAATTGTCACCTCTATGGTTGCATCTTCAACGGGATTCTCAATGCAAAGAACTGAGGATTTGGAAGATCCCAACTTTACATTTCCAAATGTTACAAACGGAGCCCTTGAAAACTGAACTAAACTCAAAACTGGATGCGAGCTATTGTTTTCTTTATTGTCATAAGAAACACCCGATGAATCTTCTTTCTTGATGGGACTAAAATCCAGGAAACCTCCACTAGCTGAGAACTGAGCCATTTCCAAAATTCTCTGTAGAAATCAATGCAAGTCGGTCACCGGACCATCTCAAGAAATATCTAGCTAATGAACGTAGTTATTTCCCTTACTATTCACTACAGCGAGCTAAACGCTAACTGACTGAAAACACGTTTCTCTGTTCGCAGTTACGTTCAGTTTGAATTTCGCTTTAGTTTGTTAGCCAATCATATCGTAGGTTGGCCACTTCACGTTCCAATCGCTGTGGGGTAAACAATGACTGGCCAATCAGAGATCCTCAGAATGTTTAAACCGCCATAAGCCACGCCCACTCTGATATCCAGGAAGGGGGCGAGGTGAAGAGGGAGAGTTGATATGATATTTTGTAGCAGTTCTTAGCTAGAAGTTCAAACCTACAGTGGCTGTGCATTTACGGTTCAGACAGTTTATTCCCGATTCTTATCACTTAAGACAACATTCAGGTGTGGCTATGTCTTCCACATAGCCTACTAAATTAGTAAATAAATGTTGATACGTGATACAATGCTTGTTGCTAGGCCCTGTAAACGAAAATAATTTCAACCATATAGTGAGTGTGCTAAATTTGGCCTTCTGATGTCCCATTCAAAAGTTGACCAGTGTGACAAATGTTGCACAAAATCATGTAAATGAAATTTCATTGACTGGTACATGATTTGTGTTTGATTGAGTTGTGTGTGTTGTATACAACATCTGTACTTTTTTCGAATTAGGCCTAACGTGTTCAGGCTCTCAGTTGGCGATAAGAGAAGCTAGGCTATTCAATACAGTGTTGCAGCAGCAGAAGACAGCATCCTAGGCTACATCTTCCCTCATGGTTAGGCTATTCAGTGCAGTGCTGGAGCCTGAAAGAGCCATTCTCATTCTGTATGAAATATGCACCTTTTCCTCCTTCCCATCCACTTACATTTATATTACAGTATTTCAACACTGACAGACCATCTCACTTACAGTGGCTTGCGAAATTATTCACCCCCCTTGGCATTTTTACTATTTTGTTGCCTTACAACCTGGAATTAAATTGATTTTTTTGGGGGGGTTGTATAATTTGATTTACACTACATGCCTACCACTTTGAAGATGCTAAATAATTGTTTTTGTGAAACAAACGAGAAGTAAGACAAAAAAAACAGAAAACTTCAGCGTTCTTCTATTCACCCCCTCTTTTGAGCCACCTTTTGCAGCAATTACAGCTGCAAGTCTCTTGGGGTATGTCTCCATAAGGTTGGCACATCTAGCCACTGGGATTTTTGCCCATTCTTCAAGGCAAAACTGCTCCAGCTCCTTCAAGTTGGATGTAGTCCCCTGTAGCTCAATTGGTAGAGCATGGCGCCAGGGTTGTGGGTTCGTTTCCCACGGGGGGCCAGTATGAAAAAAATGTATGCACTCACTAACTGTAAGTCGCTGTCACACTCTGGCTCCAGGACTTGTGTATTTGAGCCAGGGTGTATGTTGTTTTGTTGGGTTTTGGGTGATGTTTTATGGTTGCATGTCTGTCACGTTTATTTCTAGGTGGGGAGTTCTGTTGTGTCTATTTCTAGGTTGTGGTTGTGTTTCCTTGTTTGTATTCAATGACTCCCAATCGGAGGTAACGAGTGTCAGCTGTCGGCTCGTTATCTCTGATTGGGAGCCATATTTAAGATGTAGGTTTTCTTGTGTTAGTTGTGGGTTTTTGTTCTTTATTCAGTCGGTGTAACTGAGGACGTCACGGATCGTGTTTTGTTTTGTCGTGTGTTTCTAAATTAAAATCATCATGTTCACTCCCAACGCTGCGCTTTGGTCATACTTTATTGGCGATCGTGACAGAAAAACCCACCACAACGAGACCAAGCAGCAGTTGGATAACGGGTGGTGGAGCCAGAAGAGCGAAGGTTGGGAGAGGACTATGGAGGCCTGGTCCACCGAGAGGAGAGACCCCCAGAAAATTTTTAGGGGGGGGCTCACGACGTCGGGGCAGAAGGTGTACGGCCCGGAGGAGTGCAAGAGGTTGGCAGATATGGCCGCCAGTTTAAGGGGGCCACTGGTTACGAAGGGGATGGAAAGTGTGGAGGCACGGCGAGAGGTACTGGGGGGTGTTTCCAGTCCGGTCCGGCCCGTTCCTGATCCCCGTGTAGGGCCAGGGGTGTGTGTCCCCAGTGCGGTTCTGCCTGTCCCTGCTCAACGCCCCGAGCCTACGGGGTGCGTCGTCAGCCCTGTCCAGCCAGAGCCTTCCGCCAGCCAGGATCCGCCAGAGCCGTCCAGCCATGAGCAGCCAGATCCGTCAGCCGGCCATGAGCAGCCAGATCCGTCAGCCAGCCATGAGCAGCCAGATCCGTCAGCCAGCCATGAGCAGCCAGATCCGTCAGCCAGCCATGAGCAGCCAGATCCGTCAGCCAGCCATGAGCAGCCAGATCCATCAGCCAGCCATGAGCCGTCCAGCCAGGATCCGCCAGAGCCGTCCAGCCAGGATCCGCCAGAGCCGTCCAGCCAGGATCCGCCAGAGCCGTCCAGCCGGGATCCGCCAGAGCTGTCCAGCCGGGATCCGCCAGAGCCGTCCAGCCGGGATCCGCCAGAGCCGTCCAGCCGGGATCCGCCAGAGCCGTCCAGCCAGGATCCGCCAGAGCCGACCAGCCAGGAGCCACCAGAGCCGTCCAGCCAGTATCCGCCATTCAGCCTGGTACTGCCCCTTAGTCCGGTACTGCCCCTTAGTCCGGTACTTCCCCGTAGTCCGGTGCTGCCCCTTAGTCCGGTGCCGCCCCTTAACCCAGTGGGGTGTAGTTGGGGGGTGGTAATGTGGAGGAGGCTAGGGAAGCGGGTGGTGACTAAGGTGGGATGGGGACCACGACCAGGGGCAGAACCGCCACCGTGGACAGACGCCCACCCAGACCCTCCCCTAGACTGTATGCTGGTGCGCCCGGAGTTCGCACCTTTAGGGGGGGGTACTGTCACACTCTGGCTCCAGGACTTGTGTATTTGAGCCAGGGTGTATGTTGTTTTGTTGGGTTTTGGGTGATGTTTTATGGTTGCATGTCTGTCACGTTTATTTCTAGGTGGGGAGTTCTGTTGTGTCTATTTCTAGGTTGTGGTTGTGTTTCCTTGTTTGTATTCAATGACTCCCAATCGGAGGTAACGAGTGTCAGCTGTCGGCTCGTTATCTCTGATTGGGAGCCATATTTAAGATGTAGGTTTTCTTGTGTTAGTTGTGGGTTTTTGTTCTTTATTCAGTCGGTGTAACTGAGGACGTCACGGATCGTGTTTTGTTTTGTCGTGTGTTTCTAAATTAAAATCATCATGTTCACTCCCAACGCTGCGCTTTGGTCATACTTTATTGGCGATCGTGACAGTCGCTCTGGATAAAAGCATCTGCTAAATGACTAAAATGTCAAATGTAATGGGTTCCGCTGGAATCTTTAAGTCATACCACAGATTCTCAATTGGATTGAGGTCTGGGCTTTGACTAGGCCATTCCAACATATTTAAATGTTTCCCCTTAAACCGCTCGAGTGTTGCTTTAGCAGTATGCTATCATTCCTTCAATTCTGACCAGTTTCCCAGTCCCTGCTGATGAAAAACATCCCCACAGCATGATGCTGCCACCCCCATGCTTCACTGTGGGGATGGTGTTCTTGGGGTGATGAGAGGTGTTGGGTTTGCGGCAGACATTGTGTTTTCCTTGATGGCCAAAAAGCTCAATTTTAGTCTCATCTGTACCTTCTTCCATATGTTTGGGGAGTCTCCCACATGGCTTTTGGCGAACACCAAACGTGTTTGCTAATTTTTTTCTTTAAGCTATGGCTTTTTCCTGGCCACTCTTCCGTAAAGCCCAGCTCTGTGGAGTGTATGGCTTAAAGTGGTCCAATGGACAGATACTCCAATCTCCGCTGTGGAGCTTTGCAGCTCCTTCAGGGTTATCTTTGGTCTCGTTGTTGCCTCTCTGATTAATGCCCTCCTTGCCTGGTCCGTGTGTTTTGGTGGGTGGCCCTCTCTTGGCAGGTTTGTTGTGGTGCCATATTCTTTCCATTTTTTAATAATGGATTTAATGGTGCTTCGTGGGATGTTCAAAGTTTCTGATATTTTTTTATAACCCAACCCTGATCTGTGCTTCTCCACAACTTTGTCCCTGACCTGTTTGGAGAGCTCCTTGGTCTTCATGGTGCCGCTTGCTTGGTGGTGCCCCTGGCTTAGTGGTGTTGCAGACTTTGGGGCCTTTCAGAACAGGTGTGTGTGTGTGTGTGTGTGTGTGTGTGTGTGTGTGTGTGTGTATATATATATATATACTGAGATCATGTGGCACTTAGATTGCACACAGGTGGACTTTATTTAACTAATTATGTGACTTCTGAAGGTAATTGGTTGCACCAGATCTTATTTAGGGGCTTCATAGCAAAAGGGGTGAATACATATGCATGCACCACTTTTCCGTTCTTTTTTTTATAAAAAAATGTTCTCCATTCACTTCACCAATTTGGACTATTTTGTGTATGTCCATTACATGAAATCCAAATAAAAATCTATTTAAATTACATGTTGTAATGCAACAAAATAGGAAAAACGCCAAGGGGGATGAATACTTTTTTGAAAGGCACTGTAGGTTACCAGTGCTATATTGAACAAACAACAGCAATCCGCTTCCCCGGCGGTCTTTTTATAGCGTTCACGTTTGATTGAGGATCATCTGAAGAGCTGAAGGTAGAGAGAGCCCATTGGTGCGTCAGTGGACAAGGGCACATAAAGTGATTGGTGAGCCTAGCTAAAGAATAGTGGCACTTGAGTTCACAACACGTACAGGCAGCACATCAGAGAGAGAGAGAGAGAGAGAGAGAGAGAGAGAGAGAGAGCGAGGAGGAAGCGCGAGAAAGATGAGGCAGAGACTCCAGTAGCCTACCGACATGCTTCACACAGAGCGAGCAGGATGATTTTCTATCACGAATATGGATTTATTGCGATCTACTAGGTTTCATTCACTTGCATGCGCCTTGATCATCTATGGTGCACTAATCATAGGGATAGATGGTGAGTAACGGTACTTTTATTATATATTGTTTGGTTTTACCAGTTGATAACTGTTCAATTCTCATGTTGGTGCTTTTTAGAAGACATAGGCTAAAGTGTAAAGTTTCATCTGGTGTTTAGGTTTATTGATTTTGCAGGTGTCATCATTGTGGTGTCATCCTAGCCTGTGTACCCGTATGTTTAGCTATCATTCCACTCCTTGCCGCTACTTGTCGTGATAAACAGGTTAAGTTATATAAAATGTTTTGTATAGCGCACCAATACTGCTGCTGCTTTTCTTCTGAAACTAATGCTGATCAGATCATCCTCATGCTTTAATTGAAATATATTAAGGGATCTTCTAAAAGTGTAAATATGTATGCTGAATCCATCACAGTAGTAGCCCACAATATCTAATTGAACCAGTGTGATCCATTTGTTTTATTTTTCATGAGTGTTAATAATAGTTCAATAACCTTCTTATTAGGCATCAAAAAGTATAAATTTACATGTAGGATATCTATGTTTTTTAATTGTCCCGTGTAGCTCAGTTGGTAGAGCATGGCGTTTGCAACGCCAGGGTTGTGGGTTCGATTCCCATGGGGGGGGCCAGTATGAAAATGTATGCACTCACTAAAAACTGTAAGTGGCTCTGGATAAGAGCATCTGCTAAATGACTAAAATGTAAATGCTGCCTCAGCTGTAAGTGTGTAGGAGATCTTAAAAGTATTTGCTATTGGCATCCCTGCCTTTTCTCTGATCCGGGGCATTCTCTACTCTCTACCCCTTTTTATTTTATTTATTTTATTTATTTTATTTATTTTATTTATTTTATTTATTTTATTTATTTATTTTTATTTATTTTTTATTTCACCTTTATTTAACCAGGTAAGCCAGTTGAGAACAGGTTCTCATTTACAACTGCGACCTGGCCAAGATAAAGCAAAGCAGTGCAATAAAAACAACACAGAGTTACATATGGGGTAAAAAAACAAAGTCAAAAATACAACAGAAAATATATATACAGTGTGTGCAAATGTAGCCCTGAGCTGCATGTGTAACACATATTGTTATGTAGCTGATCAGAAGACTGTTTTTTCTGATTAGATATAGAATGCATGCCAAATCACTATCTGGCATGCCTTGAATTTCAATTGGAAATGTGAGGGGTGACATCACTGCTATCTCCCAGTGTTCATGGCACATTTTGTAAGGAGCTCTGAAGCTAAACGAGCAGACAAAGACCGACCCAACAATGAGGTGCAGTGTAAGCTCGCATGGGGGTTAGGCATATTCTATGTCTCCAATACTCCCAAGAGTGTGTGTGTCTGTGTGTGCTCGTGTGTGTGTGTGTGTGTTCTGTTATCACCACTGAAACAAGCAAACACACCAGCCTGTGTGCTCTGTCTGTGACCGAGAGGCCGTTCAAATCTCCCCTCATCAGTCAGTCTGTGACAGAGAGGCCGGTCAGATCTCCCCTCATCAGTCAGTCTGTGACAGAGAGGCCGGTCAGATCTCCCCTCATCAGACAGTCTGTGACAGAGAGGCCGGTCAGATCTCCCCTCATCAGACAGTCTGTGACAGAGAGGCCGCTCAGATCTCCCCTCCACATGTGCTGCAAAACGAAAGGGCCTTTCTACAGAGATAGCACTGAACAAAAAGCTATACCGCTATTAGCATATGAAAGAGGCCTTACATGCTGTGGGAGGGGATGTTTGGTTGGCCGGCGCTATGTTTTGAACGCATCATTAGTCAACAGGCTTGTGGTTGAATCTTAAGGTACTGACATGCCTCACAGGAAAACACGGTCTTATAAAGGGACTGTGGTTTCTTAAATGAATGCCATGCAACAGTTATTGTGTCTGCAAAAATGTATTTCCTGATTAATTGATTGAATAAGGCATCTCAGTCAACAACCTGTTAGTGTTGGCAAGGCCAAGATGTGTGGCTGCACAGTTGGCAGCTTGAGACCTGGCTGGTGTGTGCGTCCAAATGGGCTCAGACGTCAGTTCAACGTCTAGTTTTGATTTACATTTGGTTGAGTTGTCAACTAATGTTAATTCAACGTGAAATCAAAAACAAATTTCACAATGTCATTGGATTTAGGTTAAACATTGGGTGAAAAAACATTTGAATTTCACATTCATTTTTTTGTTGTTGAAATGATGTGGTTTCAACCAGTTTTTGTCCAGTGTGTGTGTGTGTGTGTGTGTGTGTGTGTGTGTGTGTGTGCGCTGGTAATGCGCACTGGGTGATCCACTGTCTGATCTGCCTTGGATCTACGTACTTCCAGCTGATAGTCCGTGATAGTGGACATATGGCTGGACACCCGATACCTTCCCCAGCCCCCCTGGACGCCAACCCCCAACCGGGGTCATGCTGAGATGAGGTCTAGACACTCATAAGCTGCTCTACTGAAAATCTGGAGGCTCTCTGTGAAATTGATTGACCTTCACAAATGATACAAGGGAGCGAGAGGGTGAGTAAGTTGTGCCGTTGTCCACCGTGGAAAGTGTGATTGCACCACAAACACTTGGAGGTCCGTGATTGGTCTGATTTGACCATTTTGACAGTCACTCACCTTTCCAGTCAGAGATTTGACTGATCTGTTCACCTATTTTACCAATACATATCTGTAGTTAGACTGGACTGGAAATCGAAGATTTTTGGCGCAATAAATTCCTGTGGAACTTGATGTGATACACCCTTATGGTTGCGTCACCTGCATAACATGGAACTCTGTAAATCCCAAACCTTCAGACGATCGTCATGCAGTGCACACCCACAACATGGCAGGCCATTCATCGTTTATTGTCATATCCAGCTTTGAGAAAGGCCTGCTGGAATGTACCAAAATGAAAACAGGTGTGCACTTCACACCCCTCTGTGTGTTAAATGCTGTGGGTCCCTTCATACACGCATTCCATCCATTACACGGCCTGCCACTGCTGATGATCTGGTCCCATTGGTTCTGCTGGGGGGTTATGGCAACGTTGGGTTGCCATGTTTGGGGAAATCCTTGTCTTTGATATCATCCCTCGTTGGTGCGTATCCTAGAGCTAGACATGACAGATGGTATCAGCCAAGGCAGCGGTCACCAACCAGTCCAACCAAGTTTTTTTTATTAGTTTTTTAATTCATCTTGCGCTGTTGGAGGTAGGTGCACCCGATTCAGCTGCTGTGCGCGTCGGGTAGGCGACATGTTCCCATTTTGAACCATTTGACATGTCTGAAGGTACAAACTCTTCCCGGCGGGACCGGGGGGAGCAAATCAAGTGCACTATAGGCCTACCGCTGGCCAATCGGATGGCTCAGATTACCATGTCTGTAGTAACGTAGTAGGTGTAAACGAAAGCTACAGCTAAATTGATACTGTGAGATTTGAAAACCATGACTAGAGAGAGACTGTCCACGAATACAGCAAAGAGCTGCTGTTTTTATGAGTGAGTTCATGTTTTTACTCAGCACTATCAACACTTTCTATTCAACATTTTTATAAGCCATAAAATGTGTGTTCTCCCTATTTCCACTTGCGCTACAACCAGCACTGCAGCTCAATGAATGAGTAGGAAAGGGTATCGATAGGCTTGCGTTGTCACTATTAGCCGCATGGATATTTTTTAATATCAAGGAATATTTCACTTTCTCTGCTCATAGGAGGAACAACATGAATTTGTGCATGAGGCAGAAATAATGCGGTGCTACTCGAGTTTCGCCATCAGCTGGATGATGGTGTCCCTTTTTGGTCAGTGTCAGCGGAGGAAAGGGAGAGCGGAGGGACGTTGAGAGGCGGACCTTTAGTCTGCTGCCCTCTCCCTCCGCTGAGACTGACCATCAGATGCAGGCAGGCTACATCAGCCCAGTACGATAAAAAAAAAAAAGAGTAGATTATTTACATTTATGCTCACTCAGCTGTGCCTCACAAATAATACAACAACTAATACCGGTGTGATCATATAGGCTACCTCAAATGTTGGTCTGAGAAGAACAACAATGCATTGGCAGGGCAATTCAAGCAAAGACAATATGTGGTGAGAATGTTTTGTGCCTGCAGCCTACTGAACAAACCTCATTACTACAGTACTGTTTTTAATAGGTTAATGTTAAATAGGCTCATGTTTTTTTAAAAGTAATATAAAAAATGTAATCGTAGATCTCAGCTTGCATTTTAACTGAGAAAGTGATCTCGACTCAAAAAGGGTTGGTGACCACTGAGCTAAGGGATGAGGAGACAGAAGTGATGAATCTTTATTCTGTTACAGTGTATCTCTATGTCAGATGTAATGTTCAGGAATGTTCTGTCTCGTTTGGTAACATGTAGGATCTGGTGAGTGTAATGTTTGATTACATGAGTTTAGCAGTTTGTCCAATAACAGCAATGTAACCCCTTTGTGCTCCGAACAGGGATGTGTGGTTTATACTTTATGTAGGAGTTAAATAAAGAACAAGCTCATAATGGATGTATTATATAATTTACCCCAGAATGACCTGTACCTGATCCCATGTTTATCACCTAGACGCCTGACACACACACACACATACACACACACATACACCACATACACATACACACACACATATATATGCAGGTAAAGGAAAGGGAAAGGGGGATACCTAGTCAGTTGTACAACTGAGTGCATTCAACTGAAATGTGAAGGACCCACACATGCACGCACGTAGACACACACCCTCTCTGTGTACCTCTGGAGCCTCTATAACCGCAGAGCTCTGTGCCCTGGGCAACTCCTCTCCAGCTTATCCACAACACAGAGGTCGTTCCACCATGTGTGACTTGTCTGTATCCATCTAATTAGAAATCCATTATCAGGAATAAATGATTATACAGTCCACATCTTACATTCAGCATGCCTGTACAGTAAGAAGGGTATATCTTCCATCCCCAGTGTGTGTATATGTACTAACCTAGTACTCCTGAGTGGCGCAGTGGTCTAAGGCACTGCATCGCAGTGCTAACTGTGCCACTAGAGATCCTGGTTCGAATCCAGGCTCTGTCGCAGCCGGCCGCGACCGGGAGACTCATGGGCGGCGCACAATTAGCCCAGCGTCGTCCAGGGTAGGGGGAGGGAATGGCTGGCAGGGATGTAGCTCAGTTGATAGAGCATGGCGTTTGCAACGCCAGGGTTGTGGGTTCGATTCCCACGGGGGGCCAGTATAAAAAAAAATTATATATATATGTATTCACTAACTGTAAGTCGCTCTGGATAAGAGCGTCTGCTAAATGACTGAAATGTAAATGTTACCTACCTCTCTCAGAGTGAGTGTTTACTGGTTCAAATGGGTGCTATAGAATATACTCTACATCGTCCTGGAGAGCGTAGGCTTTTGCTCCATCTCTGCTGTAATACACCGGAGGTACCGTCAAATTATCTCTCCAGGAGAAGGATTGGCCATCCTTGATCTGATCTACAGTGTACATGATACCAGTTCATCTGAGTGGATGTTCTATATTCCTGTAAGCCGGGCATTAGGAGGAGCCATTTGGTTAATTCCTCCCTCCCCTGGGAGACGTGTTGGACAAACACATGAATGGAATAATCCATTAATGAGTCAAGGCAACATGTTTATAGCCAAACTAATGAAAAGAGGAGAAATATAGCTGCGATTGGCAGGCGCTGTGTCGTTAATCTCTGCTGTGCTGTGTGATTAAGTAGACGCACCGAGGCCATACTAGGAATGAATGCGGTGATAAATTACTGACTTCTGTCCGCCTGCGGTTGCCATGGTGAAAGAGCGAATGCTGAAACAGAACCATGGAATTGGTTGCCATGGAGGCCAGCTGTGATGCTTTGTGAGGCTATTAAGTTTGCAAACGTCCTTGTACTGGAGACGAGAATGGAGAATGGGGGGAGAGAGGAGGCCTGTTTTCACAGGCGGAGAGGGAGCCTTTGGTGTCATATGCTATAGGACACAATTGCTGTGTGTGACAATGCAAAGCTTGACTCATTGTAACACACTGCTGAGAGAATAAAATACATTAGTAGACATGAATCCCGTTTAGTTAATCCTCACTAAGGAATTACCCTTTATCAAGTATTTTTTGGTGGTACTGACATATTTTGTACGAGACTGTAAAAGAGACAGAGAATGTATGAAAGACACCTTGAGAATAATATACAGTTTATCAGAATAGTAAGTCTGCTGTGACATACAGTACCAGTCAGGAGTTTGGACACACCTACTCATTCAAGGGTTTTTCTTTATTTTTACTATTTTCTACATTGTAGAATAATAGTGAAGACATCAAAACTATGAAATAACACACATGGAATCATGTAGTAACCAAAAAAGTGTGAAACAAATCAAAATATATATTTTATATTTCAGATTCTTCAAATAGTCACTCTTTGCCTTGATGACAGCTTTGCACACTCTTGGCATTCTCTCAACCAGCTTCATGAGGTAGTCACCTGGAATGCATTTCAAATAACAGGTGTGCCTTCTTAAAGTTAATGTGTTTCAGCCAATCAGTTGTGTTGTGACAAGGTAGGGGGGTATACAGAAGATAGCCCTATTTGGTAAAAGACCATGTCCATATTATGGCAAGAACAGCGCAAATAAGCAAAGAGAAACGACAGTCCATCATTGCTTTAAGACATGAAGGTCAGTCAATACGGGAAATTTCAATAACTTTGAAAGTTTCTTCAAGTGCAGTCGCAAAAACCATCAAGCGCTATGATGAAACTGGCTCTCATGAGGACCGCCACAGGAATAGAAGACCCAGTGTTACCTCTGCTTCAGAGGATAAGTTCATTAGAGTTACCAGCCTCAGAAATTGCAGCCAAAATAAATGCTTCACAGAGTTCAAGTCACAGACACATCTCAACATCAACTGTTCAGAGGGGACTGTGTGAATCAGGCCTTCGTGGTCGAATTGCTGCAAAGAAACACCAATAAGAAGAAGAGATGTGCTTGGGCCAAGAAACACGAGCAATGGACATTAGACCGGTGGAAGTCTTGTCCTTTGGTCTGGAGTCCAAATTGGAGATTTTTGGTTCCAACCGCCGTGTCTTTGTGAGACGCTGTGTGGGTGAACGGATGATCTCTGCATGTGTAGTTCACACCGTAAAGCATGGAGGAGGAGGTGTTATGGTGTGGGGGTGCATTGCTGTTGACACTGTCTGATCTATTTAGAATTCAAGGCACACTTAACCAGCATGGCTACCACAGCATTCTGCAGCGATACGCCATCCCAATCAGTTTGGGCTTAGTGGGACTCTCATTTGTTTTTCAACAGGACAATGATCCAACACACCTCCAGGGTGTCCTAAGGGTTATTTTACCAAGAAGGAGAGCGATGGACTGCTGCATCAGATGACCTGGCCTCCACAATCCCCCGACCTCAACCCAATTGAGATGGTTTGGGATGAGTCGGACGGCAGAGTGAAGGAAAAGCAGCCAACAAGTGCTCAGCATATGTGGGAACTCCTTCAAGGCTGTTGGAAAAGCATTCCAGGTGAAGCTGGTTGAGAAAATGCCAAGAGTGTGCAAAGCTGTCATCAAGGCAAAGGGTGGCTATTTGAAGAATCTCAAATATAAAATATATTTAGATTTGTTTAACATTTTTTTGGGGTTACTACATGATTCCATGTGTGTTATTTCATAGTTTTGATGTCTTCACTATTATTCTACAATGTAGAAAATATTAAAAATAAAGAAAAACCCTTGAATGAGTAAGTGTGTCCAAACTTTTGACTGGTACTGTATTTCAATTTCTCCCTGAAGATCAATCACTATTTGTTGAATCAGACATTTTAGTGCACGTCCGGAGCTAAAGCCTGCACACCTTTGGCCCTCCAGGTCTGGAGTGTCCCACCCATGTGCTATAACAGAAACACACTTAATTACACTCTGTTCCTTCTCCATATTCTGTATCTTCAAGACCTGAAATTGATTAAATACGTAAATGAAAAAATAAAGACATATACCATTACAAATGCAGACATAGAGGACAGAGAAAAGCCGACCCCGACATAATTTGGGATGCTTTTAAGGCGTACATTAGGGGAATTATAATATCATACTCTGCAAGTTAAATTTGTGTTAGAAAATAAATCACTATCTTAGAAAAAGCCCCCCAAAAATGATTTGACGGTAAAGTAGAAAATACAATTTCAGAACTTAAGCAGGAATATGATATTTTACTCTTGAAGAGAGACAACAACTACAAGTTAAGTAAGGGATAAACTGCAATGTTCTGAACATTACCTTGAAAATAATGGACAATGCAGCAGAGTTTATTTTTCCAAGGCAATGTACAGAACGGAGGCGTTTATCCCGCTTATACCACAATTGCCAAAGAAAACAATACTAAAGTACACAACAATACTAAAACATTATTTTGTTGATATTTTCATTCATACTTTGTCATCTTTTGGTTGCTTTTGTCATCTTTTGGTTGCTAGAGACGCGATCCAGTTGTTCGTTTGATAGTTATGGACGTGACCCAGTCGTTCGTTCTTTATGTTCCGTTGCCATGCTCGCTGGCAATGTTCTTATCAGAAACTAGTATTCAACAATGCTGTGGTATAAACTAAATTATACCACAGCATTGTTGAATACTTGTTTCTGATTGGCTAGAAGGGCATTCTAGAATGGGCATTAAAACCAGATAACAGGACAGTTGGAAAATATATCGAGACAGTTGGAAAAGATATCAGGACACCTTGAAATCATGACGCAATATGCGCCTACACATGCAGACTGTACTTGCTACAAAGTTATAGAAAGCAAAAACAACAACCACACAAACCGAAATTGGATACATTGTAAACGCAGGTTCAACGAGGAAAAACTTCCAGCATTGATTTGGTTTTGCAGAGACTTGTTTTTTTGGAGCATCTGATGACCTAACAACCGTGTTGAGTGATGAACATGATTTTCTCCAGTCCCTACTGTTTCAGTCATGACGCAACTGTTTTCAACATCTGATATTTTTTAATTCAGTTGTCATATTGGCAGCTTTGCTAGCAACAAACTATTTAGCTAAGGTAGCTTCTAGCCTAGTGTTTGATATGCAATGCGTTCTCATCGTAATGAACAGTGTCGAGTGTCCTGATAAAAATGCCAACTTTTCTAGCTATGCCAGGCAAAATCAGGCATCATCATTAATGTATCTAAATGAATGTCAATAGAAAACAGCTTAAACGCAAATGCAGCTACTTGACTGTTATTCTGGCTGCAAAGTTTGTGACTGTGGTAGCCGTAGCTAGTTGGCTAGCTTGCAAGCAAGGGATAAGAACGTTACCAGCGAGCATTGCAACGGAACATATAGAATGAACAACTGGGTCGCGGCCATAAAATATAGCAACCAAAAGATGAGAAAGTATGAATTTGCTTATAAAAATTTAAATATAAACAAAAAAACATTTTCTACCAGTACATTTTTGCTCAAGTATTGTTTTCTTTGGCAACTGTGGTATAAGCAGGATAAATGCCACCGTTCTGTACATTACCTTGGAAAAATTAACTCTGCAAAGGACTCGGCTCCGCCTTGTCCCGCAGCGTCGTCTATTATTTCCAATGTACAGAACGTCTGCATTTATCCCTTACATAAAGCATACTATTTATTGGCAAATAAACCTGGTAAACACCTCGCAGCCCTCACAAAATGAATACGTGCCAAACCAGTTTAATTTGAAAAGATAAGGACACAAATGCTTTAATTAGAAACAATGCTATTAGTAAAAATTTTAAGATCTATGAAAATCTATAAATCAGAATTAAATAGTTGGACTGATCCTACAGCCTTCTTAGACTCAATAACCTTGAAGCAAATGTCATCAGATAAAAATAAATAATGGCAATCACCCAAAAATAAATGTTAGGCACTGTTAAAATATTTGCGTGGAGAAAGCACCAGGGATGGATGGCTTTTCCATAAAAAATGTTTTGATATTCGTAACAAACAGTTATTTCAGTTATATTAAAACCAGGAAAATCTGGAGAGTCCCCTGCAGATTACAGACCCATAAGTTTAATAAATTGCGACAATAAAATCATAACAAAACTCATAAGCAAGAGAATAGCAAAAGTATTACTACATATTAATCAAACATGGTTTATTGAAAATAGACACTTACAAACAAATACAAGCAAGAACATGTTTCCGTATAATACAATACTCTAAAAAACAAGATGTAGATTTATCAATAATGGCTTTTGACCGTCTTTTCAATTCAAAACTTTGGAAGCATTCAACTTTCCAGCTGAAATAATACATTTCATACAAATATTATATAAATGTCCTAAAGCAAAAATATATACAAATAATACATTATCTGATGAAATTGCTTTAGAAAAGGGTACGAGACAGGGATGTCCTCATGTTTAAACTTGCAATTGAACCGCTTGCAGAAAGAATTAGACAGGACCCAAACATAACGGGTATCCGTATTGGTAAACATGAATATAAACTAAACTTAGCTGCCGACGATCTCCTGATATACCTGACTAATATGGAAAACTCAGGGCCTCCCGAGTGGCGCAGCGGTCTAAGGACACTGCATCGCAGTGCTAGAGGCATCACGACAGACCCGGGTTCGATCCCAGGCTGTATCACAACCGGCTGTGAACGGGAGTCCCATAGGGCGGCGCACAATTGGCCCAGCCTACCATCAGTAACACACTACGCCACCAGGGACTCAAATCCTGCAGTGCCAGACGTGTCCCCCTGCTTAAGCCAGTACATGTCCAGGCCCGTCTGAAGTTTGCTAGAGTGCATTTGGATGATCCAGAAGAGGATTGGGAGAATGTCATATGGTCAGATGAAACCAAAAATAGAACTTTTTGGTAAAAACTCAACTCGTCGTGTTTGGAGGACAAAGAATGCTGAGTTGCATCCTAAGAACACCATACCTACTGTGGAAGCATGGGGGTGGAAACATCATGCTTTGGGGCTGTTTTTTTGCAAAGGGACCAGGACGACTGATCCGTGTAAAGGAAAGAATGAATGGGGCCATGTATCGTGAGATTTTGAGTGAAAACCTCCTTCCATCAGCAAGGGCATTGAAGATGAAACGTGGCTGGGTCTTTCAGCATGACAATGATCCCAAACACACCGCCCGGGCAATGAAGGAGTGGCTTCGTAAGAAGCATTTCAAGGTCCTGGAGTGTCCTAGCCAGTCTCCAGATCTCAACCCCAAAGAAAATCTTTGGAGGGAGTTGAAAGTCCGTGTTGCCCAGCGACAGCCCCAAAACATCACTGCTCTAGAGGAGATCTGCATGGAGGAATGGGCCAAAATACCAGCAACAGTGTGTGAAAACCTTGTGAAGACTTACAGAAAACGTTTGACCTATGTCATTGCCAACAAAGGGTATATAACAAAGTATTGAGAAACTTTTGTTATTGACCAAATACTTATTTTCCACCATAATTTGCAAATAAATTCATTAAAAATCCTACAATGTGATTTTCTGGATTTTTTTTCTTCTCATTTTGTCTGTCATAGTTGACGTGTATCTATGATAAAAATTACAGGCCTCTCTCATCTTTTTAAGTGGGAGAACTTGCACAATTGGTGGCTGACTAAATACAATTTTTTCCCCACTGTATAGTTAAATACACTAAAGAGGAACAGTGGGTACATATTGAAGATGTGCATGCTCATCCCCAGAATCTTCACATTTGTTTTCAAAGGATAAAGCTAAGAACATTAACAACTTTATACAGTTACAGTTGAAGTCGGAAGTTTACATACACTTAGGTTGGAGTCATTAAAACCCGTTTTTCAACCACTGCACAAATTTCATGTTAACAAACTATAGTTTTGGCAAGTCGGTTAGGACATCTACTTTGTAATTACACAAGTAACACAAGTAATTACACAAGTAATTTTTCCAACAATTGTTTACAGACTGATTATTTCACTTATAATTCACTGTATCACAATTCCAGTGGGTCAGAAGTTTACATACACTAAGTTGACTGTGCCTTTTAAACAGCTTGGAAAATTCCAGAAAATGATGTCATGGCTTTAGAAGCTTCTGATAGGCTAATTGACATTATTTCAATTGGAGGTGTACCTGTGGATGTATTTCAAGGCCTACCTTCAAACTCAGTGCCCCTTTGCTTGACATCATGGGGAAAACAAAAGAAATCAGCCAAGACCTCAGGAAAAAAAATTGTAGACCTCTACAATTCTGGTTCATCCTTGGGAGCAATTTCCAAAACGCCTGAAGGTACCACGTTCATCTGTACAAACAATAGTACTCAAGTATAAACACCATGGGACCATGCAGCCGTCATACCGCTCTGGAAGGAGACGTGTTCTGTTTCCTAGAGATTAACTTACTTTGGTGCGACAAGTGCAAATCAATCCCAGAACAACAGCAAAGGACCTTGTGAAGATGCTGGAGGAAACAGGTACAAAAGTATCTATATCCACAGTAAAACGAGTCCTATATCGACATAACCTGAAAGGCCGCTCAGCAAGGAAGAAGCCACTGCTTCAAATCCGCCATAAAAAAGCCAGACTACGGTTTGTAACTGCACATGGGGACAAAGATTGTACTTTTTGGGGAAATGTCATCTGGTCTGATGAAACAAAAATATAACTGTTTGGCCATAATGACCATCGTTATGTTTGGCCAGAACCCCATCCCAACCATGAAGCACGGGGGTAGCAGCATCATGCTGTGGGGGTGCTTTGCTGCAAGAGGGACTGGTGCACTTCACAAAATAGATGGCATCATGAGGAAGGAAAATTATGTGGATATATTGAAGCAACATCTCAAGACATCAGTCAGGAAGTTAAAGCTTGGTCGCAAATGTAAATGTAAATGGGTCTTCCAAATGGACAATGACCCCAAGCATACTTCCAAAGTTGTGGCAAAATGGCTTAAGGACAACAAAGTCAAGGTATTGGAGTGGCCATCACAAAGCGCTGACCTCAATCCTATAGAAAATCTGTGGGCAGAACTGAAAAAGCGTGTGCGAGCAAGGAAGCCTACAAACCTGACTCAGTTACACCAGCTCTGTCAGGAGGAATGGGCCAAAATTCACCCAACTTATTGTGGGAAGCTTGTGGAAGGCTACCCGAAACGTTTGACCCAAGTTTAAACAATTTAAAGGCAATGCTCCCAAATACTAATTGAGTGTATGTAAACTTCTGACCCACTGGGAATGTGATGAAAGAAATAAAATCTGAAATAAATCATTCTCTTTACTATTATTCTGACATTTCACAGTCTTAAAAGAAAAGTGGTGATCCTAACTGACCTAAGACAGGGAATTTTTACTAAGATTAAATGTCAGGAATTGTGAAAAACTGAGTTTTTAAATGTATTTGGCTAAGGTGTATGTAAACTTCCAACTTTAACTGTAGTTAAGAACACTATAACAATATGGAGGAAAATGAAACAAATTCTACAAGAACCAATATCACTCCCTAAAAACACACCCCTATGGAACAATCCTTGGATAGCTTTTCAGAATTCAATGATAAATTAAATGATGTGGTAATAGGAAATACACATATTTCCATGACAGAATTAAAAAGCAAGTTTGGACTGACTAATGTACACATTTTCAAATATGCAACTTAAAAGTTTTATATCAGTACATTTTGACCTGTAAGCAATGTTGTGGGAATCCTATTTGAGTCAGAAAAAGATACTCATATGACAGGTAAGATATACAAGACCTTGCAGAGAGAGCCTATTCAACTGACAATGTCTTAGAAAAAAATATAAACTATTGGAATCAAGACTTAAAAATAACTGATATAGGCACAAGATGGAGGGAATGTTGGAACATAACTAATTAAATTACTGTTAACAAAAATGTACGCTTAATTCTAACTAATGTATAGAATATATTATACAAGAGACAAAATTCTACAGCACAACAGCAGAGTACAACGAACAATGACTCAATAATGAATGCCTTCTGGGAGTGCTATAAAGTCCAAAAGTTATGGGCGGATGAATCAAATATATGATTATTTAAATATTGAAAAGGTGTGGGCTACAGAGGAAAAAAAGAACAGTGCAATTTTTTTTGCCATATGGCATGGAGTGCTACAAGCACTGGAAAGTTCCAGGTGATGAAGGACGAGGGGGAGTGTGCTTGTGAGACATATGTGATGTGTATGGTTGCGATGGGAACATGTGGGTCTGAGCAGGTGTGATGTCGTTGATGTTTGTTGAAATGTGTGTGCGTCTGTTTGTTGTCTCTTGTTTATGTATGGTTGTTATTGTTTGTGGGGGAAAAAAAACACAGCGCAAAAAAAAAGACAATCAATCAAAACATGACTTCCTGTCCCCAGGTGCATCTCCACTGAAAGCGAGGTCGGTGGCCCCGGGAACAGACCAGTGTTCCCCCAACCCCTGCTACAACCGGGCCATCTGCCGTAGTCGTGGTGATGGTTACTCTTGTTTCTGCGTGCCGGGGTTCCAGGGTGAGCGCTGCCAGATCGAGGTGAACGAGTGTGTGTCGCAGCCCTGCAGGAACAGAGCCACCTGCGTAGACAGGGTGGGCAGGTACACCTGCCTCTGCAGCCCGGGGTTCACAGGTAAGCGGAGAGAAGAGACTACTCCTCCAGGGAGAAAATGTTTTGAAACATGAGTGAAACGGGGACGTGCAACCTGAACTGTTGCAAAGGGTTCTGCTCCATTGTTAGGTGAAAAGTATGGAGAATACCTCCAAATGGTTCAGGTCAAGGGGTGCCCAATCTTACACATGTGGGTGCAGGATTTTGCTCCAGCCAAGCAGTAACACACCTCGTAATCAACTAGTCTTTTAATTATATCTTTGATTAGTTGAAACAGGTGTGTTCCAATCGAGGGATGAAGATTACGCACCACTGGCCTAATGAGTGTACAACGTTGGCATCTAGTGGCAGTTTGAGTTCATTACACTAGTCCTCAATCTATCCCTACCATCTTCTATGCTGTAGCTCAGGGTTTCCCAAACTTGAGTTTTTGCCCTAGCACTACACAGCTGATTCAAAAAATCTACTCATCATCAAGCTTGGATTATATGAATCAGCTGTGTAGTGTTAGGAGTGTTAGGGCAAGAAGTTTAAAAGAAGAAATACAAAGATCTGAAATCAGTATATTTATATATTTTCCATACTCTATGACATCCAGTTATAGATAGAGAGAAATGCTAATTAAAGATAATCTGTGGGTAATCCTAGCTCTTTAGAGCGTTTTAGGTACGATAAGGTTAAATACAAGGCTACTTTCAGATGACTAATCTTGTTAAATCTACTCTGTTTACTATTTTGCCACCTGTCCAAGGCCAATCTCACCATCACCCTGTGTTCTGGTTTACAGTATGATTGATCAGTGGAGGCTGCTGAGGGGAGGACGGCTCATAATAATGTCTGGAACGGTGCGAATGGAACGGCATCAAACACATAGAAACCATAGAAACCATGTGTTTGATACCATTCCACCTATTCCGTTCCAGCCATTACCACGAGCCCGTCCTCCCCATTAAGGTGCTACCAACCTCTTGTGTCTGGGCTTCAGAATAATATGATAGAACTTTATCATTGGTTTTTAGATCAGGAAACTGACACAGAAATAACCATTAACAACAACACGAGTAAAGGAAACAGCATCTAATTATCAGTACGTGATGATCAGCCAGCCAGTCAACATGGTGGTCCTCTGTAGCTCAGCTGGTAGAGCACGGCGCTTGTAACGCCAAGGTAGTGGGTTCGATCCCCGGGACCACCCATACACAAAAATTTATGCACGCATGACTGTAAGTCGCTTTGGATAAAAGCGTCTGCTAAATGGCATATTATTATTATTATTAACATGAAATCATTTCACTCTCCGTATGATCCCAACAGGTGCATGTTGACATTCCCCTTCATGTTTCTCTAACTAACCTGTCCAGATGGTTTGGCCACAGCTCATATTACAGACCCTCTGACGGCCAAGTTTGATGTTCCAGGTGCCACCTGTGAGGTCCAGATTGACGAGTGTCAATCACAGCCCTGCCTCAATGGCGGGAGTTGTCATGACTACGTCAACGGCTTCTCATGCACCTGCATGCCCGGTTTCCAGGGCGACCGCTGTGAAATCGACGTTGATGAGTGCCAACACCAGCCATGCCAAAATGGGGCCCTGTGTATTGATAGGGTGAATGGGTAAGTAGTTTGTGTGTGTGAGAGAGAGATTTGTATTTATTTGTGTGGAGTAAAACAAGAACGCCTGCATAATGCTTGCCTGCAAAGCTTCAATTTTTATTGGAAAAGTAATTGGCACTGAAACTGCAAGATCCGTAACTGAAAATCCTTATCATTCAGGTACAGCTGCGACTGCTCCCAGACCACCTTCTCTGGACGACACTGTGAAACTGCTGCACCTCCATGCACGTCCCAGCCCTGCCTCAACAGTGCCACCTGTCTGGAGGACGAGGGGAACTACAGCTGTGACTGCTGGCCAGGTACTGTGCAGTCACAGAACAGAAAGAACTATAGGCACTTCATTAGCAGTCAAGTCTGAGGTCTGTTCTTGAAATGGCACCTGCAGCCCCTCTCTAGACTTTCGCCAAAGAGGTATTTTGTGTTTGTATTTATTAAGGATCCCCATTAGTTCCTGCCAAGGCAGCAGCTACTCTTCCTGGGGTCCAGCAACATTAAGGCAGTTAAATACAAAAAAAATTTTTTTACATGACATTACATTTCAGAACACTTTTCACAAGACATTAAGTGTGTTCCCTCAGGCCACTACTCCACTATCACATATTTACAATACAACATCCATGTGTACGTGTGTGTAGAGTGCGTGTCTTATCATGTGTCTGTGCCTGTGTGTGTGTCTCTTCACAGTCCCCGCTGTTTCATAAGGTGTATTTTTATCTGTTTTTTAAAATCTGATTCTACTGCTGGCATCAGTTACTGGCTCCCAGCCATAGCAGCTTGTGTTAATGCCCTGTCTGTCTGTCTGTCTGTCTGTCTGTCTGTCTGCCTGTCTGCCTGTCTGTCTGTCTGTCTGTCTGTCTGCCTGCCTGCCTGCCTGCCTGTCTGCCTGTCTGTCTGCCTGTCTGCCTGTCTGCCTGTCTGCCTAACTGCCTACCTGCCTACCTGCCTGTCTGTCTGTCTGTCTGCCTGCCTGCCTGCCTGCCTGTCTGCCTGTCTGTCTGTCTGTCTGTCTGTCTGTCTGTCTGTCTGTCTGCCTGCCTGCCTGTCTGCCTGCCTGTCTGTCTGTCTGTCTGTCTGTCTGTCTGTCTGCCTGCCTGCCTGCCTGCCTGCCTGCCTGCCTGCCTGCCTGCCTGCCTGCCTGTCTGTCTGTCTCTGTCTGTCTGTCTGTCTGTCTGTCTGTCTGTCTGTCTCTGTCTGTCTGTCTGTCTGTCTGTCTCTGTCTGTCTGCCTGTCTGCGGCTAAAGTTAGAACAGTGCGTGTCTGGGTTTCAGGCCTAAAATACACCTCTCCCCCGAATGCCCACAGGGATTACACAAAAACATTTGCTGTTCTCACAATGTGAGGAATGTTCTTTGTTATCCTGAGAAATATAGAGGTGTGTGTGTGTGTGTGTGTGTGTGTGTGTGTGTGTGTGCGTGTTGTCTATCCCCCTGTATGTCTTACATTCTGTCTGTGTCCTGCCAAGGGTTCAAGGGTCGTCAGTGTGAGGTGGATGTGAGTGAGTGCAGCAGCAGCCCCTGTCTGTACAGGGGCCGGTGTATAGAGCTGTCCTGGCAGAGCCTGTATGGTTCAGAGCCTCTTTTCCAGACCACTACGACCCACAGCAAGCTGCAGGCTTCATATGCAGCTGCCCACCAGGAACCACAGGTAATGTCCCATTGAAACACATGATGAACCAGGAACCACAGGTAATGTCCCATTGAAACACATGATGAACCAGGAACCACGGGTAATGTCCCATTTGAAACACATGATGAACCAGGAACCACAGGTAATGTCCCATTGAAACACATGATGAACCAGGAACCACAGGTAATGTCCCATTGAAACACATTATGAATGATTTCTGATCACTGTTAAAGGTTGACATTTCTGCTCAATGAGGCTAGGCACTCCCATAACAAATTAATGCATTCTCATTTGCTAAATGCTAAAATATGACAACCATAAGTATGAATATGGATACTGGTCCAGCCTATTATTTAGGTCACCCCCAAACGCCAGTGATCAAATCTGTTTCATAACTATATGACAGGTACCGACCATATGTATGGTTGTAGCTTGGGCCTATTCACAGTTTTCACCCATTCACGCATTAGCGCTCTTCTCTTACAAAAGAGGAATATTCTATTCATCCTGCTCCTTATGCAGACCTGTGATAAGGCCCAGCAGGTAAGACTAGTGGCTGTGTCTCCAAACACTGTTCTATAATTGACTCCCCCCAGGCAGTCACCAGTGTTCACTCTGTAAGAAGGCGCTAATTGCATTAGTGTTAATCCTGAGGATCTGGCTTCCTGGACTCCAGCCTGCAGAAGGACTCAACACTGTGTTCAGTTGTGCATGGATAGAGACCAGAGGACAGGGACTGCCGGCTACTATGATGACCTATGGTCACAATGGGATTGAACACTCAGTGGTAGTTGACATCTAGACGAGCGTGTAGTTATTGGTGGGAAACTCGTAAACTGGTCGCAATGCTGCAAGTGGAAGTATGGATTTGGAGCATTCTATTGCTTAGCGCAGGTATGGTTATAGGTAGTTCTTTATGCCTTACGTATGTATTTTGTCAATGACTGGTAATGGTCTTGTTATACTTATCCATCTCATTTAAAGTAAATTGTATTAAGTGATTATTGTTGATCGTCATCGTTCTTTAGAGCAAGATTCCCACTTTTGCTGTTTGTTTTTGCATAGATTGAGAAAATGTCTTAAGTGTAGTAACTTTTGTTGCTATGTGGTTGCTACTGTATATATGATTTATTGGGTCTGTGGACCATCATTAGGACTCATCATTATGCAACAGGCTGTGTGTGTTGGTCCACACGATAGTCCAGTTGGGTTTGAGTATTAACTTGACAAGGTGTAGAGGATGACGTGGTTCAGCTCACAGATGGCATCATGGGATGGGGAGCACCGCGGGGAGCTTCCTTTAGTCTAAAGCTTAACATCACTCAACATATACAGTAAAATGGAAGACGTGTGTTTACAGTGAAGGTTTACATGTGTTTTCAGTAAGAAGTTATAGTGTTTATAGTGAAGGTTTACATGTGTTTTCAGTAAGAAGTTATAGTGTTTATGGTGAAGGTTTACATGTGTTTTCAGTAAGAAGTTATAGTGTTTATGGTGAAGGTTTACATGTGTTTTCAGTAAGAAGTTATAGTGTTTATGGTGAAGGTTTACATGTGTTTTCAGTAAGAAGTTATAGTGTTTATGGTGAAGGTTTACATGTGTTTTCAGTAAGAAGTTATAGTGTTTATGGTGAAGGTTTACATGTGTTTTCAGTAAGAAGTTATAGTGTTTATAGTGAAGGTTTACATGTGTCTTCAAAATCAAATCAAATCAAATGTATTGTTCACATACACATGCTTAGCAGATGTTATTGCGAGTGTAGTGAAATGCTTGTGCTTCTATTTCTGACAGTGCAGCAATATCTAGCAAGTAATATCTAACAGTTCCAAAACAGATATCTAATACACAGAAATCTAAGTAAAGGAATGGAATAAGAATATATAAATATATGGATGACCAATGTCATTATCAGAGTGGCATAGGCTAAGATGCAATAGATAGTATAGAATACAGTATATACATATGAGATGGGTAATGCAATATATGTGGTGATCCTCTGTAGCTCAATTGGTAGAGCATGGCGCTTGTAACGCCAGGGTAGTGGGTTCGATCTCCGGGACCACCCATACGTAAAAATGTATGCACACATGACTGTAAATCGCTTTGGATAAAAGCGTCTGCTAAATGGCATATTATATGTAAACATTATTACGATAGTGTAGAATACAGTATATACATATGAGATGAGTAATGCAAGATATGTAAACATTACTAAAGTGGCATTATTAAAGTGACTAGTGTTCCATTTAAAGGTGAGGAGAAGTATATTTTCTGTACTAGAATAGCAGGAAAGGTGAAGAGTGAATATTTCATGTCTGGTACCAGCTGTTAGAGAAAAAGTTAATAACGTAATTTAATTTCCTCCACAGACTAAGTTCTACCAATCGTAGTATGATTGACCCACGTCATCCTCCAGTGTCCCTTCTCTTCCAGGTACCCTTTGTGAGGAGGTAGTGGACGAGTGCGACCCCAGCCCTTGTGAGAACGGGGGTCAGTGTGAGAGCCTTGTGGGGGGCTATGTGTGCCACTGCTTTCCGCAGAACCAAGATGAGTTCCTGTACGGGGGACAGAACTGCAGTGAGGCTATGGTGGGCTGTGAGGGCCACGAGTGTCTAAACCAGGGCTCCTGCTCTCCCTTCCTGAGTGACGGGCATCATGGCTACTCCTGCCTCTGCCCCCCGGGCCACACCGGGCCTCTCTGCCAGACCCCCACAGTCTTCTCCTTCGAGCGGAGCGGCTACTTGCTGTTGCAGAGCCCACTGGTGGCCGCGGAGGCCTCGTGCGACATCACCCTGAGCTTCCGGACAGTGCTGCCCAAGGCCGTGCTCTTCCAGCGGGGCAGTGGAGGGCTGGTCCTGGGTCTGGAGCTGCTGGGGGGCCAGCTGACACTCAGCCTCAGGAGGGAGGCCTCGGCTGGGGGTGGGGTCGAGGGAGAGGCCCTGCAGCTTAGGCAGACCCTGGAGCTCCCCCTTAACGTGACTGATGGGGAGTGGCACTCTGTGAAGGCCGTGCTGGGGGACGGCCTGCTCAGCCTCAGGCTCCTGGATGGTGGGGTCTGTCAGGAGCAGGACTGTGAGAGGGAAGCCCGGGTCGAAGGCACCCTGGCTGGGGTGAACTCTCCAGAGTCTCCCCTCCAGAACACTTTCATCGGCGGGGTGGTGGAGGCAGGCGGGGCCCTGGTTCCGGTCCCGGCCTTCATTGGCTGTCTGCGGGACGTGTTTGTGGACTCCCAGCTGTTGGTTCCGGAGGAGTGGCTGAGCGACTCGGCAGTGAACGTGACTGCAGGCTGCAGCCACAGGGACAGATGCCAGGACAACCCCTGTCAGAACAGAGGACAGTGCATCAACCTGTGGCAGAGCTACCAGTGCCGGTGCCCCCGGCCATACGAAGGTCACGACTGTGCTGACGGTAAGAATGGATAGGGGTGCTGAGGAAAAGGTATGGGATCTATGTACAGAGATACATACAGTGGGGAAAAAAAGTATTTAGTCAGCCACCAATTGTGCAAGTTCTCCTACTTAGAAATATGAGAGAGGCCTGTAATTTTCATCATAGGTACACGTCAACTATGACAGACAAAATGAGGAAAAAAAATCCAGAAAATCACATTGTAGGATTTTTTATGAATTTATTTGCAAATTATGGTGGAAAATAAGTATTTGGTCAATAACAAAAGTTTCTCAATACTTTGTTATATACCCTTTGTTGGCAATGACACAGGTCAAACGTTTTCTGTAAGTCTTCACAAGGTTTTCACACACTGTTGCTGGTATTTTGGCCCATTCCTCCATGCAGATCTCCTCTAGAGCAGTGATGTTTTGGGGCTGTCGCTGGGCAACACGGACTTTCAACTCCCTCCAAAGATTTTCTATGGGGTTGAGATCTGGAGACTGGCTAGGCCACTCCAGGACCTTGAAATGCTTCTTACGAAGCCACTCCTTCGTTGCCCGGGCGGTGTGTTTGGGATCATTGTCATGCTGAAAGACCCAGCCACGTTTCATCTTTAATGGCTTTGCTGGTGGAAGGAGGTTTTCACTCAATCTCACGATACATGGCCCCATTCATTCTTTCCTTTACACGGATCAGTCGTCCTGGTCCCTTTGCAGAAAAACAGCCCCAAAGCATGATGTTTCCACCCCCATGCTTCACAGTAGGTATGGTGTTCTTTGGATGCAACTCAGCATTCTTTGTCCTCCAAACACGACGAGTTGAGTTTTTACCAAAAAGTTCTATTTTGGTTTCATCTGACCATATGACATTCTCCCAATCCTCTTCTGGATCATCCAAATGCACTCTAGCAAACTTCAGACGGGCCTGGACATGTACTGGCTTAAGCAGGGGGACACGTCTGGCACTGCAGGATTTGAGTCCCTGGCGGCGTAGTGTGTTACTGTTTACATTTACATTTTAGTCATTTAGCAGACGCTCTTATCCAGAGCGACTTACAGTTAGTGAATAGATCTTTTTTTTTTTTTTTTTTTTTTATACTGGCCCCCCGTGGGAATCAAACCCACAACCCTGGCGTTGCAAACGCCATGCTCTATCAACTGAGCTACATCCCTGCCGGCCATTCCCTCCCCTACCCTGGACGACGCTGGGCCAATTGTGCGCCGCCCATGAGTCTCCCGGTCGCGGCCGGCTGCGACAGAGCCTGGATTCGAACCAGGATCTCTGGTGGCACAGTTAACACTGCGATGCAGTGCCTTAGACCACTGCGCCTACTGTTGGTAGGCTTTGTTACTTTGGTCCCAGCTCTCTGCAGGTCATTCACTAGGTCCCCCCGTTTGGTTCTGGGATTTTTGCTCACCGTTCTTGTGATCATTTTGACCCCACGGGGTGAGATCTTGCGTGGAGCCCCAGATCGAGGGAGATTATCAGTGGTCTTGTATGTCTTCCATTTCCTAATAATTGCTCCTACAGTTGATTTCTTCAAACCAAGCTGCTTACCTATTGCAGATTCAGTCTTCCCAGCCTGGTGCAGGTCTACAATTTTGTTTCTGGTGTCCTTTGACAGCTCTTTGGTCTTGGCCATAGTGGAGTTTGGAGTGTGACTGTTTGAGGTTGTGGACAGGTGTCTTTTATACTGATAACAAGTTCAAACAGGTGCCATTAATACAGGTAACGAGTGGAGGACAGAGGAGCCTCTTAAAGAAGAAGTTACAGGTCTGTGAGAGCCAGAAATCTTGCTTGTTTGTAGGTGACCAAATACTTATTTTCCACCATAATTTGCAAATAAATTCATTAAAAATCCTACAATGTGATTTTCTGGATTTTTTGTCTGTCATAGTTGACGTGTACCTATGATGACAATTACAGGCCTCTCTCATCTTTTTAAGTGGGAGAACTTGCACAATTGGTGGCTGACTAAATACTTTTTTCCCCACTGTATGGGAAGAAGTGTAGGGCACTCAACCAACGTGAGTCGAGGTGCAAACAGAAAAATTTATCATAATTTAAAAGGAACAAGGTGCAGCGCTCGCTCACCATTAAAACATATTATTTCATTTAAGCAACTATTAAAAGCTTGACGTTTAGGCCTTCATCAGTGGCCTTCATCAATGGCCTTCACCAGAACCATACATACCTACATACCCATGCTCAAATGTATTGAATAGAACATCCTTAGTAGGCCTAGGGCTGTTGCGGTGACCGTTTTACCACCACACCGGCGGTCACGAGTCATGAAGGCAGTCAAATTCCACGTGACCGTTTAGTCACGGTAATTAGGCTTCTCCAAGCTCTGATGCTGCTGATGGTCATTAGTAGCCAACCAAACTTGCTAACTACCTGGTACTCAGCACTCTATTGTCCCTCTAATCACTCTGACATCAATGCAAATGTCATTGAAAATCTAATCAAACACTTAATGAGAGCCCATATGAGCTCATGTTGCGCAACATTACTATAGGCTATGCAATTGGATCCCATCAGCTTTCTATAGGCTAGGCCTACTATATTTATTCCTCAACATTCCTAATATTAAGCACATTGCTTATCTTTACAACAGGAGTATAGCCTACCTGGCTGGCATGAAAATGAACCAGGGGAAAAGCGTCCTCCATTCGCTATTTAAGTGCATCGATGACATGTAATTGTCCCCCTGAACCTGTTTCGAGACAGGTGCATGATAATGGTCCATTCTAAATCAAAACAAATTTCACACATATATTACTTAGTATATGTAAAGACAAGATTAAATCAAGAATAGTCTGATGGGTGACAATATTAGCCTATCACTTGTGAATTATATATTATCACTTGTAAATAATGCCCAGCGTAAGGCAAGAGACAATGCCTTTTTTTGGCTACTTTTTCGAATCATAGTCGCACACCTCATGTAGCCTAGCCCATAGGCCTATTTGTTTTGATGAGGTTTGTATCACAACTAATGTGGCCAAATAACTTCTTAAAATTAAGCACATTAATCCGCTTTACAACGGGTGTAGAGCCTAACTGGCATACATAAGCAGCGCATGATCTTTAAGTTTGGGGAAGATAATTTTCACCATAAAAATGCACCTTTATAATAAAAGCATTACTTTGCAGTCACTTTTGATAATGGTGTTTTCCCGCTAATGGAACATTTGGCTTATAGCCTACTGCCGCGTGCACATTGCTGCACTTATAATGTGAAGAAATAACCTAATAGTTTAATCCACATTTTAAGCTAAACGTTCTGATCTGTTGCGTCAGCCACATTGCGTAAAAAATGTTTTTTGATGCTAGTGGTTGTATTAATTTGGGATCTATCGCATCCCACAACTGTCCCAGACTATGTTTGGAATATTTCTTTCTCACACAGAATAGAATAGGTCAACTTTTGTACTATGGAGGATAGTAGATTGACATAGGCTAGTGCTTTTGCTGTTCGTTAGGCCTACTCATCTTGTTGGCTGACGAAAAGTAAATGTGGACAGTTCTTCCAATATCTTCAATATGCACCTCGGAATTGGATAAGGACGCATGCAGTTGCGTCCCCGATGTGTCTGTCTTCACTTGTAGCCTGTGAGAAAGACTTGATCACGTGATGGAGAGCCATGTGAGTGAGGGGTGCTTTGGAGCACACAGCACTCAGGGAGAAAGGCACAACTGCCACTGGCCGTAAAAGGCATGGATTTTTTTGGGGTGCATTACGGTCACACAAAGGGGATGCCGCCGTGAAATTTGAGGCATTATCAAGTGCTTGTCGAATTGTGAATGAGAGACTGATGAAGTGTGTACATCCTGCGCAAAAGAACAAAGCAGAGCTCATGCCTTTCAAGCAACCTTTTTCAAATTATCATTAGAGTCGCATCATGCAGCCTTACAATGTATAAAAAATCTAAACATATAGCCCAACGTTTGTAGAACAACTAAAGTTACATTAATAACTCAAAATTAAGAATATAGGAGTACCTATTTCTTTGTTAACCGCTCAACAAAGAATAGCCGCATGTGTGCACTCCCTCAAATCGTTTGGAGAAAATATCCTCTATTTTATTCAGCTTTGTTCAATTGTATTCTTCATACTATAAAATAATGCCATTATATATTGGAATTCTAAGCAAATCTTGTCTGCTAAATGAACTAGTGTATCCCACAGCCATTTGGCATAGCCAGACCAGGACCTAACATAAGGACAACTCAGAGTATGCTATTCTGTTCTTCTGAAATAGACTACATTTTCTTCATATCATGCTTCTTTAGACCTGTCTAAAATAAATCATGGATTTATTGTAAAGGTGTAGGCTATATTACATGGATTTATTAGACCTTTTAAAATGTAGATGTTCCAAAGGTCTGCATCAGTGACTTGTAGGCTATGTGTGGAAGCCAGGAGATGCTAAATGTGTTTATGTTAATTAACGGTCAATTATTGTGAGACCGACAGTTATTTGCTTGACAATTCACGGCTGATGAAATTTCGTGAACGCCACAGCCCTATGTAGGCCTACATAACAGAGAGACTGTAGAACAGAGTAGAGCAGAGCAGAGCAGTCAGAAGTCACATTCAGAGATCAGCTCCCTGAAAGGATAAATGGATTAAAGGAGGGAGGGAGGAAATCTCTGTTGGAAACGATGAGGTAATGCAGTGCCATGTAAGGATGCCTTGTAAGGACTTACAATACTTACACAATACAAACATACATTGATTTGCAATCATAGAGTCACACAAATGACAGTACAGAGTATACATTAGACCCAGGCAAGTCATTTCAGCTCTTTGTTTTCTGAGAGAGATATTATTAGCCAGTTGCCATCAAAGCAGATTAGTAATAATCTGACAGTACCTTAAGGAAAGACACACAGAAACACAAACGCTACACACATCTAGATCTAGATTTGAACTACAGCTAACCTGGCTGCAGTGACGGGCATAAGCTACATACGCGGTCGCTTAGGGCCCCTCACCAAAAATGTACTGTTGAGACTTAGGATAGTAGAATACACAAGGTGCAATCAGCAGTTTTCCTGTTATGTCAGTCACTGAAAGTCACTCCATTAGCCCATGTCAGCTAAAAACAATCATCTGTAAATTACTAGGCAAGTTAGTCTAGCCAGCTATCTAAACCTTGTAGTAATCATGGCCGAATTACCGACCGTGCACGCAGGGCACATGCCCAGGGGGCCCTAACCTTCAGGGGGGCCCCCATTTAATTTTGTTAGTCACTCTCACCCAGATATCGTATGAACATGGCATAAATCATGATAAAATGTTTAGAATGGCAGAATATATGTGGACTTGTAGGAAATGTACTTTAAAGCTGCAAAAATGTTCTCCCTGCCCAATGGCAAATATGTGGAATTGAATGAAATTAGCTTTGAAACTGCATAATCTTCTCTTCACCTAATAGCAAAATGTGAAGAATTGCAGGAAATTAGCTTTAAAATGGCAAAATGTTCTCTCCACCCGATGGTAAATGTGTAGAATTGCAGAAAGATGTCTTTATATTTGCTATATTTTCTATACTCATTGTAAAATGTGCAGAATTGCAGGGAATTAACATGAAAACCAAATCTCGCTTAGGGCCCCCAAAAGACTAGGGCCGGCCCTGGCTGTGTATGGAAAATTCAAGCCCTTTCTTCTCAAATGCCTACAGATCACAAACATGCCATTCTGTGTGTGCGTGCGTGAGTGCTTGCATGCACAGGTGTGTGTGTGCATATGTGTACGTGTGTCTTTGCATGTGAGTGCATTTGGCTGCGTTTACACAGGCAGGCCAATTCTGATCTTCTTTTCACTAATTGGTTTTAATAATTGGGCAAAAGATCCGAATTGGTCTGCCTGTGTAAACACAGCCTTAGATGAGTGTCCTCTGGGCTTCATGTATCTGTATCAGTGTGTGTCATCTGGCCCAGTCTGCCCCACGATGACCAACCAACCAGCTAGCCAGTCAGCCAACCAACCAACCAACCAACCAGCTAGCCAGCCAGTCAACCAACCAGCTAGCCAGCCAGTCAGCCAACCAACCAACCAGCCAGTCAGCCAACCAACCAGCCAGCCAGTCAGCCAGCCAGCCAGCCAGCCAGTCAGCCAGTCAGCCAGCCAGCCAGCCAGCCAGCCAGAGGAAAGTGCTGATGTTGCAACATGGGAGCATATGGGCTACTGGCTGCTTACCACACACTAACATAGTCTTCTTGGACAGTAGAGAAAGTCATACCACTACAAGTTATATCTAGCCTTTTTGTCACACAAAACAAATACATCATTTTTATTCACACCCTCCACACTCCACCTCAATATGTTAAAATAACACAATCATCATAACCCTGTTTATAATAACACAATCATCATAACCCTGTTTATAATAACACAATCATCATAACCCTGTTTATAATAACACAATCATCATAACCCTGTTTATAATAACACAATCATCATAACCCTGTTTATAATAACACAATCATCATAACCCTGTTTATAATAACACAATCATCATAACCCTGTTTATAATAACACAATCATCATAACCCTGTTTATAATAACACAATCATCATAACCCTGTTTATAATAACACAATCATCATAACCCTGTTTATATTAACACAATCATCATAACCCTGTTTATAATAACACAATCATCATAACCCTGTTTATATTAACACAATCATCATAACCCTGTTTATAATAACACAATCATCATAACCCTGTTTATAATAACACAATCATCATAACCCTGTTTATATTAACACAATCATCATAACCCTGTTTATATTAACACAATCATCATAACCCTGTTTATATTAACACAATCATCAAAACCCTGTTTATAATAACACAATCATAACCCTAACCCTGTCTCTCTCTGTAGAGTACGTGACGGCCCGTTTCGGCAATGAGGACTCTCAGAGCTATGCCGTCTTCACCATCACAGACTACCCAGGAAGTGACATCACCGTCTCCCTCTTCCTGCGCACACGGCGCCATGCTGGCCTCTTATTGGTGCTCGTCAATAGCACCAGCCAATACCTGCGCCTGTGGCTGGACGAGGGACGGGTTAGAGTTCAGCTCCATAACTTTGAGACCTTGACCAGTGAGAGTGCGGTCAACGACGGAGACATCCACTTTGTGAGCGTGGTGGTTGACCGTGAGCTTATGGTCCTGTACGTGGCCAACCAGAAGCAAGGCTCGGTGGAGGTCAGGACGGTGGACAGTCAGATGGGGGATGTGGTGTATGTTGGGGGTCTGGTGGAGCAGAAGGCATCAGCAGCGTTCGGGGGCTACTTTAAAGGCTGTATCCAGGACCTGAGGATCAACGGAGAGAGACTGCAGTTCTTCAGGCTGGACACCCCGGTGACGTCATATCCTCTGGAGCTCATGGCTAACGTCACGGCGGGCTGCACTGGGGACGACTCCTGTAGTGTGAGTGGACTGAGCAGTCCTTAATACTCTCTACACCTGCCCCTCCCTGTCAAAACTCTGTCCCCTGTCTTTCATCTGTCCTACCCTGTCCCCTGTCTTTCATCTGTCCTACCCTGTCCCCTGTCTTTCATCTGTCCTACTCTGTCCCCTGTCTTTCATCTGTCCTACTCTGTCCACTGTCTTTCATCTGTCCTACTCTGTCCCCTGTCTTTCATCTGTCCTACTATGTCCCCTGTCTTTCATATGTCCTACTCTGTCCCCTGTCTTTCAACTGTCCAACCTTTCATCTGTCTTACCCTGTCCCCTGTCTTTCATCTGTCCTACTCTGTCCCATGTCTTTCATCTGTCCTACTCTGTCCCCTGTCTTTCATCTGTCCTACTCTGTCCCCTGTCTTTCATCTGTCCTACTCTGTCCCCTGTCTTTCATCTGTCCCCTGTCCCCTGTCTTTCATCTGTCCCCTGTCTTTCATCTGTCTTACCCTGTTCCCTGTCTTTCATCTCTCCTACTCTGTCCCCTGTCTTTCATCTGTCCTACTCTGTCCCCTGTCTTTCATCTGTCCTACTCTGTCCCCTGTCTTTCATCTGTCCCCTGTCTTTAATCTGTCCAACTCTGTCCCCTGTCTTTCATCTGTCCTACTCTGTCCCCTGTCTTTCATCTGTCCCCTGTCTTTCATCTGTCCTACTCTGTCCCCTGTCTTTCATCTGTCCCCTGTCTTTCATCTGTCCCCTGTCTTTCATCTGTCCTACTCTGTCCCCTGTCTTTCATCTGTCTTACCCTGTCCCATGTCTTTCATCTGTCCTACTCTGTCCCCTGTCTTTCATCTGTCTTACCCTGTCCCCTGTCTTTCATCTGTCCAACTCTGTCCCCTGTCTTTCATCTGTCCTACTCTGTCCCCTGTCTTTCATCTGTCTTACCCTGTCCCCTGTCTTTCATCTGTCTTACCCTGTCCCCTGTCTTTCATCTGTCCAACTCTGTCCCCTGTCTTTCATCTGTCCTACTCTGTCCCCTGTCTTTCATCTGTCTTACCCTGTCCCCTGTCTTTCATCTGTCCTACTCTGTCCCCTGTCTTTCATCTGTCTTACCCTGTCCCCTGTCTTTCATCTGTCTTACCCTGTCCCCTGTCTTTCATCTGTCCAACTCTGTCCCCTGTGTTTAATCTGTCCAACTCTGTCCCCTGTGTTTAATCTGACCTACTCTGTCCCCACTCTTTTATCTGACCTACCCTGTCCTTTGCCCATGCCATACCCAGTCCTGCCCTGTCTTTGCCTGCTCTGCACACTGCCCTGTGCCACCCTTGCCTATCCCAGCCATGCTTTACCAGTCTTGCCCCAGTCTTGCCCCTGTCTTGCTCCTGTCTTGCCCCAGTGTTGCACCTGTCTTGCTCCTGTCTTGCCCCAGTCTTGCCCCTGCTCATCCCTTCTCAGTATTCATTATCTCACTCCTCATCATTGCCTTGGAAAGGCATGAACGTCACCAATCCCACACAATGAAATTAAATGGTGTTTAATGGTAAGGCTGTTAAACAGGAGTGCTGTGATGTACTTAAGGTCAAGTAGAGAAGTTGATTAACAATACAAAGAAGAACAGTAGAGAATAAGGACCGATAAGAATACTGCCAACTGTTTAGATTAGGGTCGGAGTTAGGGTCAGAGTTAGGGTCAGGGGGTCAGAGTCAGAGTTAGTCAGAGTCAGTTAGAGTCAGGGTTAGGGTTAGATTATTTGACTCTGTTTAAGAACATAGGCCTTTGGCTTGGTGTCCTCCATCTCCCTCTCTATCACCATCCCAAATCCCTATGTGTGATACTACACTGACCAAACATTAAGAACGCCTTCCTAATATTGAGTTGCACCCCCCAGTTCTTGGTTCTTCACACAAACCGGTGCACCTGGCACCTACTATCATACCCCATTCAATGGCACTTACATTTTTTGTCTTGCCCATTCACCCTTTGAATGGCACACATACACAATCCATTTATCAATTGTCTCAAGGCTTAAAAATCATTTTTTAACCTGTCTCCTGCCCTTCATCTACACTGTAATTAGGGTTAAGCAATTAGGGTTAAGCGTCTTGCTCAAAGGCACATCGACAGATTTTTCATCTAGTCGGCTCGGGGATTAGAACCAGCGACCTTTCGATTACTGGCACAACGCTCTTAACCACTAAGCTACCTGCCGCCCCTTATTGACATCAATAAGGGATCATAGCTTTCACCGGGATTCGCCTGGTCAGTCTATGTCATGGGAAGAATGTTTTGTAAACTCAGTGTATGAATTGTGTATAGTGGGACAACAGAGATGTTTTCTCTATTCATGCCTTCTCAATGCTAAGTGTGCAGTAAACTACTAGCTATATTAACACAACTGATATTGTGCTCTCTTACTCACCAAGTAAGTCAGACATGAGCATTTATGAATAATACAAGATGACCTGAATGTCCGTCTCTGCTTTATTTATAATAAAATAATAATCAACCGTATTTGTTGTTCTTCTCCCAGAGGAACCCGTGTCAGAACGGGGGGATGTGCTACTCCATGTGGGACGACTTCACCTGCACCTGCCCCCCCAGCACTGCAGGGCGGCGCTGTGAGGAGGTCAAGTGGTGTGAGCTGTCCCCTTGCCCCGCACAGGCAGAGTGCCACATCCTCAGCCAGGGATACGAGTGTAAGTCATTCTGCATTAAATCTGTCGCCCGTCAGTCCGCCCGTCAGCCCACCCGGCCGCCCGTCCGTGAGGTGGGACTGGGATTAGACCAGATTAACCTGTGGTTGGATTAGTGATGATTTACATGGCTGTCTGTCTGCCCTGTCACCCCTGTGATTAGCTGTCCTGGAATAAGGACAGAAACAACACCGTCACTTCACAAGCGGACTATACAGTATTGTTGTGTATACCCAGCACACGTACCTTCATCATATCAATCCTGTTGTGGTTGATTTTCTGTTTATTTGTTAATATTTATTCTTTATCACTACTTGTATTCTATGGTCTGTATTCCATCACATGGTTGAAGATTAAAGCCTTTTTTAAATGACCACATATTTACATCCCTTCTCTTTCCCAGGCTTTTCCAACGCCACTTTCCTTGACGACAGCAGTGTGCTGTCTTACCGCAGTAACGGCCGTATCCAACGCAGCCTAGCCAGTATCTCCCTCAGCATGCGTACCCGTAAACGCCACGCCGCCATCTTGCACGCCGAGCGTGGGCCAGAGTTTGTGACGGTGTCTGTGCAGGATGGCCTTCTCTTCCTTGAGCTCCAGAGCGGTGTGGGGGAGGGCTCCTCCACAGTGTCCCTGAGCAGTCGGAGGGGGGTCAGCGACGGGGAGTGGCACAGCGTCCACCTCTTCATGGTCACCCCCTGGGCAGAGGCCTCCCGCTGGACCCTGGTGCTGGATGAGGAGGCGGAGGAGGCAGGGACCTCCAGCAGCGAAGGGGGCAACCTGGACTTCCTCAGGGAGGAGGTGGACATCCTGCTGGGGGGGCTGGGGCCCGAGGCTGGCTGGAGCCTAGTGGGGTGCCTGGGCACCGTGGAGGTAGGGGGCATCGCGCTGCCTTACTATAGCCCCTCAGAGGTCAACCTGCCCCGGACTCAGGAGGAGCAGTTCCTGCGAACGTCCCCCAGCCCGCCCAGGGGCGGGTGCAGTGGAGGCCCGGTGTGCCAGCCTAGCCCATGTGTGAACGGGGGCAGCTGCCAGGACCTCTGGAACCTGTTCAACTGTAGCTGTGAGGAGGGCTGGACCGGACGCCGCTGTGAGCTCAACACAGACACCTGCGCCTCCAACCCCTGTATCCATGGCAACTGCAGCGTTCAGGGGCTGGCATACGAGTGTTCCTGTGAGTTTGGCTACACCGGGATGAACTGTGAGGAGGAAGTGGATGTGTGTGAGAACCATCTATGTGCTCATGGAGGGACGTGTCTACATGGAGTGGACAAGTACGCTTGTCTGTGTGCTGAGAACTACACCGGACCTTACTGCAAGTGAGTCACATGAGTGGGGTCAGGAAGGGAATGAAATGTCATATTTATTTTTATACAAAGCAATAAACATCACCATCACCTCATCCTGAAAATGTTTCACCAAATTGATAATTGCTTTTATGTTATTTTTGTCTGTAAAGCTTTTATTCCAAAGTTAAAGTCCCTTTGAGTTTAAACACAGTTAGAAAAATATTAAGTATGAAGTCTACAAATAGACTTTAATAACTAGCAGTTGAAACAATATTTCATGTTTTGAAAACATGGATTCTGCAACTTGTACATTTCAATGAGATAAAAGCTAAATCAAAGCATCTCAATGCAGGACAGTACTCCAGCGGGACTCCCTTACAACACAGTAAGGAAAAGGAGATCTTCTAAATGTTCAGATGTGTATGAGGCACTGAAACCATGCACCAACTGCGTGTTTGACTTGTTGCATGTCTGTTGTACTAAACGTCATATAGCTATGACTCTAGTGTGTTGCCATAGTGTACTGTGTAATCAGTTCCCTGGTGGTTCAGTGCTACTGCCTCTCATCTTTCATTCGTCTCGGAGCATCATCGAGGGAATTCCTCCATTCATTTATCTTGTATAAACACACTCTCTCTCACACGCACTTTCAACTCTCTCTCTCTCTCTCTCTCTCTCTCTCTCTCTCTCTCTCTCTCTCTCTCTCTCTCTCTCTCTCTCTCTCTCTCTCTCTCTAGTGATCGTATTGAGGAAATTCCATGGTACATAGTAGTCAACAGGAAGGTGTAAGTTGTTTTTATTATTTGCTAGTCTTCGTTGCCATATCAACCAGCCTCCATACCGGATGTTGTAAGTCCCATAGAGCAGGACTGAGTCCATGATGTTTTAAATTCCTACAGTAGTGGTTTAATGTCCTGTAGTTTAGAGCAGTTGGGGGTCTAAATCTCATTATCCTGATCGTCCCCTAAACCCCTTAGTCTCCCAGTGGGGTGACAGACAGTACGTCCCACTCCCCCTAGTTCACACACAGGTATTAGTAGACGGTAAACCCCGGCCCCACATTGTCACTCCTGGGCGACGCCCGTCCCTCAACCACGATGCCCGCCCCTCAACCACGACACCCGCCCCTCAACCACGATACCCGTTCTTATCCCCATCTCTCTCTCACACACACACACACACACACACACACACACACACACACACACACACATTCACTCCCTTTAGAGAAGTGTGCCTGTGTGATGGTTTGTCCTGTATGTGGTTGGGTTTTCTCCTCAGTCGGCCCAAGCTGCCAGTGTCCGTCTGTGGAGATGAAACCAGAAACTACACCTGCTTCAACGCAGGGAACTGCACCGAGAGAGACCTGTCCTGTGACTGTCTACCCGGCTTCACAGGGCACCGGTAAGAGAAAGGAGGAAGGGGTAGATGGGAGGGGAGAGAAAGTAAGAAAATATACCCAGAATATAGGTGAACTTTGTAAAACATACACACAGACCACATGATGTTGTCTGTTTTTCTGACCCTCTCTGTCTCTGTCTGTCTCTCTCTGTCTCTGTCTCTGTGTCTCTCTCTGTCTCTCTGTCTCTGTCTCTGTCCGTCTCTGTCCGTTTCTGTGTCTTTGTCTCTCTGTCTCTGTACTCTGTAGCTGTGAGCAGGAGGTCGATGAGTGCAAGTCCAACCCCTGCCTGAACGGGGGCTACTGCCGAAACCTCATCAACAAGTACCACTGTGTGTGTGACATGAGCTTCGCCGGGGACAATTGCCAGATCGACGTAAGCGACATTTACTTTTACGTGGCCGTTCTGCTCTGGCAGAACCTCTTCCAGCTACTCTCCTACCTTATCCTGCGACTCGATGATGACCCTGAGATCGACTGGGGAGGGCAGGACGACTGAGGGAGAGAGAGAGTGTGTGTGTGCTCGTTCGTGTCTGTAGCTTGTGGTGTAAGCTTGAGACTTATGCTGGTGGGTGTTTCGTTGTTAAATGCCTGTCCAATGAAAAACAGTGTGTGCGTACTGTTAAATATGACTGTCTTTTAGTCCCACTAGGGTTCCCAGAGAGGATTCTCTTAACCGGGTTTTAAGGGGTTAAATCCGGCCGTGACAGCTGACCACTATGTACTTGATTTAGCTTTAGACAGGAGTCTTTAAGAAACAATAGGGGTTGTTCCTAAACTGGGCCAATTACAAATTGGAGCCGCGGACCAGACTGAATGTCTCTGACTTAGTTATAGGTTTAATTATGTTATATATATTGTTCAGGTGAGCTAAATTTAAATGGATTTATTTTCCTTTTCTGAAAAGAGCACAGAGCTGTTATTGTGCCTTAATTTCTATAGGCAGCATGTTTTTTTATAAAGTTGTGTGATTTTTGAATATGCTCTCTGTTGGATATGGCATTATGAATATCCTTTGGGCGATGACACTAAACTAACACAGCTCAGGTAGCATTATATTTAAGCAATAAGGCCCGAGGAGGTGTGGTATATGGCCAAAATACCACGGATAAGGGCTGTTCTTATGCACGACACAACGCAACCCTTAATCGTGGTATATTGACCATATATCACAAACCCCCGAGGTGCCTTATTGCTATTATAAACTGGTTACCAACGTAATTAGAGCAGTAAAAATATGTTTTTTGTCATACCTGTGGTATACGGTCTGATATATCACGGCTTTCAGCCTATCAGCATTCAGGGCTCGAACCACCCGGTTTATAATGTACATTAGACTAGGCTATACAGAAACTGTAATAAAGGTTATTTTCCAAATGGACCAAACGTAAAATAAGACACTGGTTTTGCGATTGCACAGGCTAGTCAGTGTATAAGCACAATTTCCGAAAGAAATGTTATTTCTTATAGAACAACATTTGCACTTTTGGAAAAGTATCGAGTATTTTCTGAGATTAATCTCACTTACAATATCTGGTCAGCCTCGTGTTCATTTATACTTTTGTATTCCTTGAGGATGACGGTACTGTCCTGATACTGTGTGAGGTGTAGCTTTCCTTGAGGATGACGGTACTGTCCTGATACTGTATGAGGTGTAGCTTTCCTTGAGGATGACGGTACTGTCCTGATACTGTATGAGGTGTAGCTTTCCTTGAGGATGAGGGAACTGTCCTGATACTGTATGAGCTTTCCTTGAGGATGACGGTACTGTCCTGATACTGTATGAGGTGTCATTGAGGATGACGGTACTGTCCTGATACTGTATGAGGTGTAGCTTTCCTTGAGGATGAGGGTACTGTCCTGATACTGTATGAGCTTTCCTTGAGGATGACGGTACTGTCCTGATACTGTATGAGGTGTCCTTGAGGATGACGGTACTGTCCTGATACTGTATGAGGTGTAGCTTTCCTTGAGGATGACGGTACTGTCCTGATACTGTGTGAGGTGTAGCTTTCCTTGAGGATGACGGTACTGTCCTGATACTGTATGAGGTGTAGCTTTCCTTGAGGATGAAGGTACTGTCCTGATACTGTATGAGGTGTAGCTTTCCTTGAGGATGACGGTACTGTCCTGATACTGTATGAGGTGTAGCTTTCCTTGAGGATGACGGTACTGTCCTGATACTGTGTGAGGTGTAGCTTTCCTTGAGGATGACGGTACTGTCCTGATACTGTATGAGGTGTAGCTTTCCTTGAGGATGACGGTACTGTCCTGATACTGTATGAGGTGTAGCTTTCCTTGAGGATGACGGTACTGTCCTGATACTGTATGAGGTGTAGCTTTCCTTGAGGATGACGGTACTGTCCTGATACTGTGTGAGGTGTAGCTTTCCTTGAGGATGACGGTACTGTCCTGATACTGTGTGAGGTGTAGCTTTCCTTGAGGATGACGGTACTGTCCTGATACTGTATGAGGTGTAGCTTTCCTTGAGGATGACGGTACTGTCCTGATACTGTATGAGGTGTAGCTTTCCTTGAGGATGACGGTACTGTCCTGATACTGTATGAGGTGTAGCTTTCCTTGAGGATGACGGTACTGTCCTGATACTGTATGAGGTGTAGCTTTCCTTGAGGATGACGGTACTGTCCTGATACGGTGTGAGGTGTAGCTTTCCTTGAGGATGACGGTACTGTCCTGATACTGTATGAGGTGTAGCTTTCCTTGAGGATGACGGTACTGTCCTGATACTGTATGAGGTGTAGCTTTCCTTGAGGATGACGGTACTGTCCTGATACTGTATGAGGTGTAGCTTTCCTTGAGGATGACGGTACTGTCCTGATACTGTGTGAGGTGTAGCTTTCCTTGAGGATGACGGTACTGTCCTGATACTGTATGAGGTGTAGCTTTCCTTGAGGATGACGGTACTGTCCTGATACTGTGTAGCTACAGAGATGGCCTTAGGCCCTTGAAGGCAATGAATCACACCTAACGTTTATTCATTTTAAACATTGTCACACATTCCCTGTTGTTGTCTAGACCTACAAATATGTCTGTCTCTTGTCTTTCTGTCCATCTCTCTGTCTCGTCTGTCTGTCTGTCTGTATGTCTGTCTGTCTCTATGTCCATATCTCTGTCTGTTCTTTCATGTCTTCTTTAAACATGTCTGTCTTCAAATAAACATTTCCTGTCTTTTCATCCTTAATCTGTTTTTTGTCCTCCTTTCACTACCTGTCTTCATTCATCCAACATCAACAGTTATGTCACTGGTCAGAGAAGTGTGTGTGTGTGTAAGTACTGGGCGGGAATAGACCCGTGGGTGGAAGTACTGAGCGGGTTTACCAGTCATCTGGTGAGCTGTGTGGCACTGCTGCGTGACATCCAAACATAGTTACCTAATCTCTCTTAACAGGATACACAGAGAGAAGTAACCTCTTGAAAACCTCACACATACTGTACACACACAAACCTTTCCTATCCGTGTGTGTATGCTGAGGCTTAGACCAGAGGAAGAGGAAATGAAAGATAAAGTAGAGAGAGATAGGGAATCTTCTCCTCAGTGGCTTTACTGATGTGCCCCTGAGAGAGAGAGAGAGAGAGAGCATGAGCGAGAGAGAGAGAGGGGGGGAGGGGTTGGAGAGGGTGAAGGTCTGAGGAAGAGGGGAGAAAGAAGAGAGACTAGTGTGTTAGCGTGTTAATGTGATAGTGTGTTAATGTATTAGTGTGTTAGTGTGTTAATGTATTAGCGTGTTAGCGTGTTAGTGTGTTAGCGTGTTAATGTGTTAATGTGTTAGTGTGTTAGCGTGTTAATGTGATAGTGTGTTAATGTGTTTGTTCCCCTTTTATCATATTTTGTAATGTTACCCTATCATATCTGATTAACATCCATTGTTGAATTCTGATTGGGAACTTTTAAAAGTGGAAAGTGTTTGAATTTGACTGTGTTACTAACTGTTATGTGAAACCACTTTCAAAGTAGAGGTCTTCACGGATCTATCCGAACCTGATTACATGAGATCCGGGATCCCACATTTTGTAGTTAACCCTCGGATCCCGGGTCGGATCCCGCTCGGTGGCCATGGGCCTCGGATCTGTGTGAAAATATGTGAAATACCGACCGGCTCTGAAATAATATTTGAAGAGTTTAGTTCCTAAACAACAAATGCAAATTTCACACATTTTTGATTGTATTCTCTTAAATGACTGTCAGGGGGTCCCCCTTTCACCAAACCAAATCATTTATGTCAATATCATTTTGTGACAAAATCCCATATTCTCTTTATTGAAAGAGCCACTGCACGTGACGCGGGGTAAAATAGGCTACTTGTTGTGGAATAGGAGGAGGACGCAGTGGAAAAGAGTGATAGCCCCTACTCTACAAAGTCTACAGAATATTAGGTTACAGACAAACGTGAACTACTATTCGCTGCTCTGAGTCTGGCGCGCGATGATCATCACATTAAAAATGAGTTTCTGAAACATTGAGTCGTTCTTTGCTGATGTGAAGAAGAAACAGAATGAGTCCAGGGAGGACAGGGAGGACAGGGAGTCCAGGGAGGACAGGTAGTCCAGGGAGTACAGGGAGGACAGGGAGGACAGGGAGTCCAGGGAGGACAGGTAGGACAGGGAGTCCAGGGAGGACAGGGAGGACAGGTAGTCCAGGGAGGACAGGTAGGACAGGTAGGACAGGGAGTACAGGGAGGACAGGGAGTCCAGGTAGGACAGGTAGGACAGGGAGTCCAGGGAGGACAGGGAGTCCAGGGAGGACAGGGAGTCCAGGGAGGACAGGGAGTCCAGGGAGGACAGGTAGGACAGGGAGGACAGGTAGGACAGGGAGTCCAGGGAGGACAGGGAGGACAGGGAGTCCAGGGAGTCCAGGGAGGACAGGGAGTCCAGGGAGGACAGGGAGGAAAAACCAACAGGCAAATCCTCATCTATACACATTATACAGAGGGGAAAAAGGTTGGCCATATTTTCAAGACCTGAGCTATTTAATGTAATTGTTTTATTTATTCAATTTACTAGTTTATTTAGGCTATCTAATTTATTTGTTTATGCTTCTCCTATTTAGTATGCTATTTTGCTATTTTATTTGGATATTTTATTTTGTCTAAAATCACCACAAAAAAAATCTCAAACATTTCGGTCAACCGAAACAAAATGAACAGACCTCTGAAAACCTCTAAATATTCTACATCCATTTATAGCAGGAATACTAACCTAGACCCACAAATCCCAATTGTTAAATCAATGTTGATCAAAACAGTTAAATAGGCTAGATTGTAATGTTGCTCAGTAACATAATAGGCCTACAGAATATTAGGTTACAGACAAAAGGGGACTACTATTCCCTGCTCTCAGTCTGACATGCGATGATCATCACATTAAAATAAATCCTTCTACTCAAATATTTGGTCAACAGAAATAAGGAAAACATTCTGAAAACCTCATAATGTTCTCCATCTACTAATAGGGATGTCATTATGAAAATACTAAGCT